ATGGCACATGGACACCGAGACTATGCACAGTGTCTATTTGCAAGGCTTGCTTTCATAGTTTGCTTCTACCTTTTCACAACAAAGAAGGGAGGAAAGGACTGATGGAAATATAATATAGTGAGATTTCACCCAAATCAAGTTTCTTGAAAGAGTACCTAGAAGTTGTCTCTTCGCTTGACTTATTAATCGAGAACGTGTGAAGTGTAAAGGGAAAATTTGTGCCAGGCCCTCCTCTCACCGTGTTCTCTTCCATTGTGTTTCCAAAGGTTAAGAGCATTTCTATGAATGCCATCTCCTCTGGTCCCTTCCTCTCTTTGTGGTGCCTTACTTGTTCTTACGGGTGACGGCAGACATCTGCAGTGATCTAGCCTTGAGCACCAAGAGATGAACGAAGGAAGCCAGGTGAATGAGGGTAGCTTCAATAGTCATTCGACGAGCCGCTCGTCCTGACGGCAAGTGATTTATCGGTATGAAGGTTTGCAGACTTTTCTTTCCGTATAACTGCAGCCTTGGTCTAGCAAAGGCTTTTTTAAGCTTCCGTATTCATTATATTGAGTTATCGGGCTCTGGAAGCTTCCATTGCTGTTGAACTTTATTCTCTTTCTCTTACGTGCCAGGCCCTCCCGAATACCCTATTTCCCCAATTAGGGGACACTTTGCGATTGGATGTCACCACGTGGATTCTATGGATACTATAGTTTAATACCTTTCTTTACAAGTCAAATGTTGAGGGTTAGATCGAAGAAAATGAATTCAGAACCAAATGAAAAATTGAGCAGTCTTTTATTTTTTATTTTTATTTTTTTTTAAAAAGGGGAAGGGTTTTGGTATCTAATGCATCTAGGAATAATCGCGATGGTCCGCTAGCACCGTTACCCGGTTAATAAAATAGAGCTAAGAAATCTAATCAACTGTAGGGTTATTACGCTTCTGATAGAGAAGAGAGAAAGGGGAAGGAGCTGTTTAGCCAAGGCTAAATCTCTGCGACCACTTGGCGATGAATCCAAGGGGCAATATGGCCGAGGCTGAGGATATTCGACGATCCAGAAAAATCGGACCAGGCTGAGAAACTTCTTCTTTCGGATCAACGCTTCCAATCAGGCTGCAAACCGGATCATTTTAGATTATCGCCGTGGTACCTGCAGAGGAATCGACCCAGAACGAATTGATTACGGTGGACACGCAACACGTTAACGCAATCAAGTCTTATTAGTCAGGGGAAGGAATAGGGGGATTGCTCATCTCCACCTGCCTCAAGATGGAGGTGCCGTTCTTATGTCATCTCCATTCTTCGTCGGCCGGGGACGGATCTTCCTTTTTGCCGGAAGGGTTCCCAATATTAGAAAAGCCCTCCTTGCCCACCAATTGGCATTCTAGCCCAATTTGCTTGCATCCATCTGGAGCTGTCACCAGCCACTTAGCTCAGCCAGCCAACGGCGCAGCCCCCCCTATAATCTGCTCCTGTCCGCTCTTTGTTTTTTTTTTTCGTGCTCCTTCCTAGAGACATACTTATCCTATTTGAAAGAGATCCCATCCTATCCCGCTCTTGCCACTCCCCACCCCCTGCCGCCCACCATGGATCTGAACCCCAAGTACGACGATTATGATTTCCCCCACACAGCATCTGAGAAGCAATCTGGCCATGCCGGACACTTGACCGGTGAGCAGATTGCTCAGGTCCATCAGCTACGAATGATGCTAGAGGCCGAGGGCTACACTGAGCGCCTGGATACCCTAACACTGGTATGCCCTTGGAAATGTCAACAAAGGGAAAGGGGGCACGTGCTAATGTTGATTTGGACATAGTTGCGATTCCTCCGTGCACGCAAGTTTGATGTCAACTTGGCCAAGCAGATGTAAGCCTGTCTATTTTCTATTATAACACTGGTCCAAAATAAAGGAAGCGGAACTGACCATTTGCAAGGTTCGTTGACTGTGAGAAATGGCGGAAGGAGAGCAAGCTTGATGAGACTCTTCCTACCTGGGACTACCCTGAGAGGCCAGAGGTGGCCAAGTACTACAAGCAGTTTTACCACAAGACCGACAAGGTTTGAATCAGAACATTCCCGTAGATTCAAGACATGCACTGACACATTCTTTCCAGGATGGCCGCCCTCTGTACATTGAGACTCTCGGTGGAATTGACCTGAACGCCATGTACAAGATCACCACCGCTGAACGCATGCTCACGAACCTGGCCGTCGAGTATGAGCGTGTCTCCGACCCTCGTCTCCCTGCCTGCTCCCGCAAGGCCGGCACCCTGCTTGAAACCAGCTGCAGTATCATGGATCTCAAGGGCGTCACGTTGGCCAAGGTCCCCTCGGTCTACAACTACGTTAGCCAGGTCACCGTCATCTCTCAAAACTACTACCCCGAGCGCCTGGGCAAGCTCTACCTGATCAATGCACCTTGGGGATTCTCGACCGTCTGGGGCATTATGAAGGGCTGGCTAGATCCCGTCACTGTTTCCAAGATCCATATTTTGGGTTCTGGATATAAGAGCGAGGTGCTCAAGCAGGTCCCGGCTGAGAATCTGCCCAAGGAGTTTGGCGGTTCCTGCCAGTGCGAAGGCGGCTGCGAGAACTCCGACGCCGGCCCCTGGCATGATCCGGAATTCGTCACACCCGCCAGGTGGGAGAAGAAGCTTGCAGCGGCCAAGGCTGCTGAAGCTACCAAGACCGCTGCCCCCGAGGCGACCCCGGCTGCTGATGCTGCTCCCGCTTTAGCTGTCGAGGAGATCAAGCAAGCTGCCTAATCCGCATTGATACCCTTTCAGATCAACCACGCAAGCCTATAGATTATCTCTTTCTTTCGATTGGCCCTTTATAGAAGAATACACAGATAAATGCACATGTCCACCTCATATTGAATTCGGGCTGGGTTGTAGTAGAATGCAGGATCATAGAGGATAAGGCATATGTATGCGTAAGAGAAAGAGAATAAAGTTCAACAGCAATGGAAGCTGCTAGAGCCCGACAACTCAACACAATGAATACAGAAGCTTAAAAAAAGCCTTTATTAGCCCAAGGCTGTAGTCATGCGGAAAGAAAAGTCTGCAAACCTTCATACCGATAACTCACTTACCGTCGGGATGAGCGGCTCGTTGAATGACCATTAAAGCTACCTAGCTTTGGTCGTCGCAATTCCGCACAACACATAGGCGTGGTGTAAGACCTCGGTCTGTTTAGTTTTACTGTCAGGAAGCTGTATTCAATTGAAGAAATGACAATTCTGACCCGCCTTAGTGCTGTATGCCATTTTTGAGAACTCCTTCGGCCCAAACCGTTGGAATGATTGACTCTTAAGAGAATAGCTGAGAAAAGTGCGGCCGATGACTGGAAGAGAACCCATCAGTTGGATGGTCTAAAGAGCCAATGTCTAAAACGGCATTCAATATCATGCCAGTCATATCTCACAAGAAATGGCGGTTCCATATCTTCTTCGCCCGAGATACTGCCATGCCATAGACTGGGTTGACTTAGGTAGCTAATATCCTTAGACTAATTGCAAGAACAAAATTATACAATTCTATCAGAGCATATTACACTCAGATAGTAATTTATGTTTTTGTGGCCAGCTCAGCTCGAAGTGAATGAAGGTCAAGACAAGTTTTGACCCTGTAGCCGCGAGCAAGGCCTGGAAATTTCTAATCAATGAATAGAAGACAGCTTAGCATTTTCTTCTGTAGCATTTCACCTCAAGGCTAGAATAAAACCCATAGGCGTTGATCTGGAGTTGTGTTTGCAAAACACTTGCCCCACCCCGATAACGAGGAACATATAGACTTCATTCGAGGAGAATATCCCGCCATGCCGCCGGCGGCAAGATGTCGATGATGTGATGTGTCATATTAGTGTTCTTGATGTTCCCTTGTCATGTTTTATTTGAACGTACATCTGTAATTAGAACATATCTAGCATGCTAAATGAAGAGTCTCTCTGATTCGTAGTTTATATTCAGTAACTTGTATTTGTGACATAGATTGCCGTCATGATGTGAAGAAGAGCGATAAAACTTAGACCGAACTGATAATTCTTTTACTTAGAAAACTGAGAGTAGTCTGTTTAACGTAATATCAAGCACAGCCGACGATAGTAGCTCGCCAAGGCACCAACAACACTTGAGCCAGATATCCGCCCATATCCCCGATTGTGGAGGTCTATAAAGTTTTCCGTTGCATCTTAATTCCTTGGGTAGCGTTACAGCAAACGCTGACACCATGCCATCACATAAACGACCGGGGTGTAAATGTTACTTTTGTGTCGTATTGGGCCGTCACACCTAGCGTTGTATCAGCTAGCTAAAAGACACCCAGCCCACCCACCAGGCTCCGTTGGTAGAAGCAAGCCAAATGGAACTTTGGTTTCCTATGGTGTCTAGACGCGCGTGTCCGAGGCCCATGAAAGCTTGCAACGGGGATATGCTACAATATGGCTGCAGGTGAATTCGGTGCCAAGCACAACATTCAGCCCCTGATCGATCTCTATTCCATCTATAAGTTACCAAAGATAATAAGCCAAATCAGAAACGGGGAGGCGGGAAATCGTACGATGATTCGATTGGATGAAGTTTGATATATTCAATAGGCCTTAGCTTCTATCTTCACAAGTAGTTTTTGTAGTGAAAAGTGTTAATAAAGACTTAGATCTCAATATTTGGCGGGAAAAAAATAAGCGTTGGTGTTACTTCTCAGGGGAAAGATATTTTAGTAGAATGAGCACGGCTGTGCATACGTAAAAGGAGAATTCCACACTTATCCTAGTGTAGTTGTGTCAACGGAGTGACGTTTGGTTGGCTTTAAGAAATCGCACCATCCATTTCACTTGACGATTCTTCCTCAGCCTGTGACCTAAAAATTGCAAGGTGATGATGCGAGAGCACAACGACACTGATTGTGTACTAGGAGGACTTTTCGAAATAATTTGTCTTGTGACATTTTAGCTATTAACTAATAAAATTTAGTTGCTTCTTCGGCTCATATGCAATTTTGCCTGCCATTTTCACAGTCCAACAACACGTTCCAGCACATCGAAGATGAATGTGCTTCCATTCGCGTCCGAGATGACCAGCATTTTGCCGTCGCTCGAAAACGCCAGCGAGGTGATCTTGCCGAAGGCGTCTGATTCATCTTCCTCGCTGCCCCATCTCCTTACCCCATCCATGGACCACATTTCCTGCCCCGTGCTGGCGTCCAAAATCATGACTTGGCTCCTCCCGTTCCTGGATGTGGTACTATACGCAACAAATCGGCAGTTGGGGCTGATGCAGCTTGTCGTGTTGGGGATGCCGTAGAGGTTAGTCGAGCCTTTGGAGAGGTCCCAGACGAAGACATAGCGGGTTGGGACGTCTATGGGAGCTAGTTTCCATTCTAGCTCTTGTGATCCCGGGACGCTTTGCTTGTACGCACGCTGGCTGGGTGGAATCCAGATCGAAACGACGAGGCTCTCAAACGTTTCCAACGCGCAGGGTATGGCCATCTCTAATTCTGGATAAAGCCATGGATCAACCGTCCCGATCGGGTCGTTGGATACCTCTCTGTAGTCAGATATATCCCATGCTACTATAATTGCTTCTCGTTTGGGTGGCGGACGGCCTGCTCTGGCTGTACGGGGCCCCGAAGCCGCGATTAGAAGTGGGGACGTGGGCGAAACCGCAAGCTCGGGGTATTGAGGAATGAATGGCAGCCCGGCCTTGCAAAGATCAATATTTCTCACCTTTGCAAAGGGCTTCTTGTGCTTTGTCGCGGCGTAAAGGTCGATGACGTTGTCCTCACCCCTATACGCAGCCAAGGGGGTCCACCATCCGTCAAAGGTCTCGAACCGGCCCGTCACCCATCGGTCTGTATTATCAATCGTCTGGAGCTTCTTCCTTTCCTCCCAGTTCCAGATTTCAAGGGTTCTGCCAAATCGAGAAGAAACAGCGGCCAGCCTTGCGCTATCTGATATGACGACATGGCTGCGGACGAGATATTCGCGAGATCTTGTCCCAGCCTCGATATAAGATGATATTTTGATCACAGAGAGCACATCATCGCGGATCACATCCCAGAATCGAATGGCCTTTTTACCTTCCTTGACGGCAATCGTGGCTCCGGAGCTGGAAATGTCAATCAAATTGACCTCTTCCCCCTTTCGCTTCTTGTCCAGAATGAGCTGCTTGCGGTACATCACGTTGAACCCAACCTCCAATCCGGTATTTGGTCGAGGCGGCCGCCTAGGGGCTTTCCTAGATGGAGGAGGCATCGTAGACTGTTGGGGGGACTGGGAGGTATATTCGACGCGCGATGACCTACCCGAGCCTCCGACTCGTGAGGACCTGCCTGAAGATGGAGAAGAGACGTCAATATCAATGGGCGACTCACGACGGCGCGAGGTAGGAAAGAATGATGGTGGAACAGGCGGCAACGGTCTGGCGGGAGCTGGGAAAGGGTTTGCGTCTAATACGGCAACCGAGGATCGCCTCCTGTGGACTGATGCGTGGGTGGACGCTGTTGAGACGGACTGACTTCTGTTTCTACCGTCCGAGGGCATCCTTTGCAGTGGCGAGATGGCTGGCGTATCGAGCGACGCTCTTGGATATTCCGTCAGCGGCCAGGGGGCGTTTTGTTCACGGCTGTTCGAAGTGGACGGTCTTCGGGGCGTCTGTGGGGAGTACTGTTGATAGCATTGGAGAGACAATGGCGGTGCATCTTGCCGCATCATCTTCGTAGGAGGGTCTGTGTTGAAAGTATAATCATTTTTGAGACTGGAGTGCGTGCTTATCGGGGGAGAGACGGAGTCGACGCTGTTCATCCGTGTCACACGATGCCTATGTGATGTATGTGAGATTCTGGATCATGACCAAAGCTACAGCATGAGACGAGGAACGATGTTTTGGAGTCATCAACCGTTAGAGGCCAAGGTGAATAAAGCTAAGAAACAGACCCAAAAGAGAGTAGCTACTCACGCCAGTTCGTCGATCGCGTGGTCAATCGAGTTAGCTCGTTCAGGCTCCCCGTCGGTGTGTTTCTTCTTCTTTCTGATGATGCGGTCTTTGAAGCTGGGCTGTCGGATAACATGTTTGCTATGGCTTGTTTTCACGGTAGGGGTATGGCGCATTGCGCTGGCAGCGCCCATGAAATCCATCAAGCCTACTGATTTCCCCAACCAGTTCGTTCACAATTGGATTGGGCGGTACAAGGATGGTCAATCGAGGCTGCAAGGGTCGTTATAGTAGAGGCCGATATCGCAAGATGCTCACAGAGCAGGAATCATAGCTAAAAGGTCACAACAAAAATACACGGGAGAGACAGGACTGATAAACGAAAGAAAGAATCAACAGCTAGGTGTGTGTGTGTGTGTGTTGGGAGGCGGGCAGCGTTGTGACGAGATATAGCAAGCCTGGCCATATTATCACCAAGCCCCTCGGCGGACCGACCACACCAACTCAATCACAGTTTGACGGCTATTGGCCGCCAGAAGCATGGCTTTCCGTGCCGCGAGCCTCCCTACTCGTCGAAAACCACTGCCCCCCCACCCACATTCACTCCTCAAGGCCAAGCCCACCCTCATGGTGGTGTTCTGCAGCAACGGTCCTGTCTCGATGGGGACGAGTAGGCTGCCAAATGCAGGATGGTGCTCCCAGCCAACCGTCTGCTTGGAGGGGTATGCGACAAGGGATCCAGGATTGTGATTTGGCCTCCCAGCGCCGTTGCTTTTTCGTTCCCTCACACTAGAACGGGCCAGGGCAGAGAGGGAAGCTGATTCGTGTACGTTAGCCGCCAGGCCTGCAACCATTCTCCTGGGTCATGGGCGAGGAGGCACGCGAGCAGTGATTGGCCAAGAGGATCTTTGCTTCGTCCGGCGGACTGACTGATTGATTGTCGAGTGATCCCCCGCATCCAACACAAACAAATGGAGCACTCTGCCCAAGGACGCACACATCTCGGAACACCCCATGCCGTTCTCCGTTTTTCGAGCCAGCCCAGAACCGTGATAGCAGCGCAAATTCATTGACGACTTTCCCCATCGGTCCGTCGCCCCGCTCGCGAAGTTGCCTGATCACCGTGCCGGTGTGAGTGGTGCCTCGGGCTCTGTTAGTCGAGAGCTACCCTGCTTCCCCGATGTAACAGGACAGACACCCAGAAGCTAGGGCAGCTCTCAAGGGCTTGCGTGCTTATGTTGTCTCATCCCCTGCATGGGGAGCTCGGTGTTGATTGACTGAACTTCGTGATACCCCGGCGGGGTTTCGCTTAGCGCTCCCACGCCAGCGCGGCACCGAGGAGCAACCCCTGTCGATGGTTCAGCTACATGGACACTGTGAGGTTGGTGGCTTTTGTTTGAAACCCCCTCACTGGGATTCAACTAGCAGGGCATTCCTGGTCTCAGCTCTTCTCTGTCTTTCCAAAGCAGAGGTAGTGTAACCCTGACCAACCTGATATCGACAGGTTCGACAGACTAACCCACGTGTTCGTCGACTTTGGCGGCGGAACGTGCATAATCAGCGTTTCGACCGCCTGGCTTGGGACGGAGGAGCGTGGCAGTTTTCCCTTGCCTGTCGATCCTCGTGTGGGAAGCCTGGCGTAGCATTTGGGTGGCCCAGCCACATGCGCGAATCATGACGCTCCCCGGGGACCGTCAACCGCCGCATTTCTACCCTTGGCCCCGTGACTTTAGCGTATCATCACGTTCGGATGGTTTCGTCTCATGGTTTGCGGCACTGTTTCTCTCCGTTAGTCCACATTGGCACTCCAGGCAGGGTTCGCCTAGCGAGTTCCCCCGTTTACCGTTTGGAGGGTTGTAGTCACTAATCCGGGACACTGAGGGGAAGAGCCAGCTGCATCAGGCCCTTGTCATATCACCTCGGGGAAGAAGATAGGCGTGTGGGTTGCCTGTTTTGAAACAGATTGATATGTATGTCAGATTCTTGCAGCCCAGGCACACCTTCAATTGGTCGATTTCATTTCTAAATTGAGCGTGCAGAGCGCTTGTCAACGAGATGGGGCAGGCAAGTGGGTGCCATAGAAGATGGGACAATAGTGAGCCCCAGGACTTTCTCCATCGTACTCGTGATATACTCTTATGTGAAATATGGATAGCGTTTATTTTTAACCCACAAGCAATAGTTAATAGTTGTGCCTGGAAGCAGGACGAGTTCTATGACGGCTAAAGCATACATGGGCAATGAGCTTGGGAATTATGACGTTAATCAAATGTTTAGTTCAATCTATTGCAATGATATGCCTTACTGAGATATATTTTTGCCATATTACTAAATAAAGTGCAGCAGGCTTCCTTAAACTAACTCTTGGTAACATAGCCAGATCTTCTGATCATATATACCTATTGCGACCTAGATTTACCCTCGAGATGCATTCTAGAAGTTCACTCGAGGGCTTGCTTTCACGTTCTCCCTCCCGCACTTATAATCTCATGGGGCCATGGGTTTTGTGTGAATTCCAACGACTGCGAAGCAGTTGTCAGTCCGGCGATTGTCTGAGTGTCACTGGTCGCGCTTCCAATGTTTGGAGTGCTCATTACCCCCAATTCCCACAGCCGGCCATACCCCTCTTTCGTATGCGCCTCTTCTTCATGCGTATCCAGACCTGCGCCACATATCATCTGTTAAGACAAGGTTGTTTTAAATTAGCCTCATTGATGATGCTACCGCCAGACACATGAAGTATTACATTTATTATTAGTTTAAATTGCGGTAGAGAAGCTATGCTCTTGTTGTCGGATTTCAGAGGCACGTGCGGCGTGACAATGTCAGAATCCCTCAAGAGATCCTTGATGACAGAAACCCTCGTGTGCGGGATGTCCTCCCACGCATCCGCATGAAGGAACGGTCGTAAGCAATGACGGCGAGTTGAAAGGGTTGCGGAAGATGCGGGCGACAGCCTTTTCATGCAGTGTCTGGCCACCACATGTCTCCTTTGGCACTATATATCCCCGAGATTGGCGTGAGATTATCGAGGCTGCTTCCCTTCATACATCGATCGCAAGAGCCAGCGCTAGCTCAGCGACGGTGCCAGCGTTGGCCCCGGGTGTGTTCAGGATCTGGATACTGCGTCTTACGCACGCAGATGAATCAATGCCCACACCTTGCTTCCCGATGGCTCGCAAGTTGGGTGACGCATCAATATCATCTGTGGTTACCCAAGAGCCTCTCACAAGTATGTATTGGGCGCTATGGCACTAGTTTACATGTTCCGGTTCTGCTGGGAAGATGGCATTGAAGTTTTCCTAGAAAAAGATTCGACCATAGGGTGGAATGAATCAAGTAAGAAACAGTAGGCTTAGAGAGCTTCGAGTCGTCCATAGTGATATTTTCCATTTCGGGAAGATTCTTTTAATTAGAAAAGGGCCTAGGTGGTAGCAGAAGAGACATTCTGGGCAGTGTATTTATCCATATCAGTTCATTCCTCGGAGGTATGTTTCAACTCTGAGCAGTGCACGTAACTATTTAAGAGCCACCAAGCCCCGAGAATACGAATGAGCACTCAAACAAAACGACCGAGATTATGACAACATAGCCCGTGGAAACTTGCTAGGTCGATGCTGAGGCGGACCACATATCCGCCTCTCTCCGGACAGAGTCCGAGAAGCCGGCATGTAAACTCAAATCCCGCACACCGACACGCACGACGGTTTCTTTCCTATGAAGAAGCCCCAACGCGGTTTTCCGTCTCCAATCTCACCCCAGCCAGTGTATACCCATTTCTGGCGTTTCCCCCTTATGGACGAGGAGGCAGTACCCCCGAGCTCGTGGCGGTGTGCATAGCGCTGCTTTAGCCGCAAATACAAAGTGGGTGTTGTCCATCCCTGGTAAACCTTCTCCGAGCTTCGTATGCTGATGGGTCATTTCTAAGCGCGACAAACTCCTACCGAATTGCTCTTCCTGTTTGAGCCATGGCGCAGAGTGTACAGGTCAAGTTCGGCGATTCGACAGCCCCGATGAGACTGTAACCATCAAGAAAGCCACTTTGTTCCAGTAAGCGCTTCTCCCCGGTCAACCTGGAACAGCCAAATGCCCATCACATTTACTAAGATTATGTAACTGATATGTGGATTCTCTCAAACACGAAATAGAGGACCTTAAGCAAGGCAGCAATGCCTCCCCCATTCAAAACGGCAAGACTAGCCTCCTCAGGTGTGGAAGAGGGTAGTGAGGGAGAGGGCACAGTACCCAGCTCGGGCGGTTATATTGGCAAGCACAACGGCCCCCAAGCAGCCCCAGCAATGTCTCTCTCTCAGTAAACCTATGAGGGGGTGGGTTTCTCTCTAAGTCGGCTCTGGCTGGGCCGCGCACCAAGTTGGATATCCCGTATCCCTACACAGCATGGCGATGGCAGCCCTCGCTCGTACCGGCCCGGATCCCTCTACAGCCGACGTTCCGCAGCGTCACCGGCTTCTGAGTCAATTAACCTCACGTTCTAGTGTAGAAAATATCTAATTGGATCGGGAGACCACATCGACCTACATGAAACTCTTTGCATACCATGTGTACATACTATATCCTCACTTGAGTATCGAGGAGACAATAAAGCAATACGAGCCTCTAATTAACGCGGATTCTACTTCATTACCGAATCAGGGGCATCCTACTAACGGAACCCAAGTCGAGTATCTCAATACATATCTTGGTGTAGCTATTCTTTAACAGTCTCGGCGTGGGGGATTGCAACGGCTGCTACTCTACACCCAGAGCCGAACCCGGCTGATGTGCCAGTGTGATTTAGATGGAACGGGGGACTGGGAGGGGCGATACTCCCAAATAATTGCATCCTAGGATGAGCAGGGCAACGGTGTGAAAATCAAGGGAGGAGTGCTCCGTCTTGATGAACATTTCATGGATGCCAGCCATCCTCTAGGCCATGGGAACTTCATTTTTAGTCATCCATTTGACAGACATTACAGGGCAAACTTCTCTTACCATATCGCGGGATCTAAAGGGACTACAGACCGTAGGAGGAGTGGAGGTAGCCATGATGAACAAACAAAGTTGGCAATGCATGCAGTATTGGTCGGAGCCAAAACAACAATGAGGGTGGCGGAAAGTCAAGTCTTCAATGATGAATTTAACAATTTGCATTGAAAACTACATGGGTACCCAGATTTTAAGACCTATGTAGGCGCATAATGCTTCAAGTCATTCTCAGACTGGGGCCAGTCCTCCTCAACCGAACCGACCGATTCACACCACGTCATTAGATCCATGTCGGATTAGGTCCGAAGCAGTATTGGCGACAGTCCATACAGATACGAGAAAGTGTCCAAAAAATACAGAGAAAATGTCGAAAGACTGAGTTCGACATGACCCAGCAACGTTCCAGTTGTCACGCATCGATGCCATCAAATAAGGAACAACAAAGGCTACCGACATAGTCTCGCGACAGAATTTAACACATTAGGTAGCAAAATGACTATATAATCTACAACACACGAAATTATTATTGGTTTTAATTTTGTTTACTTTATTGAACTCACCCATCCTAAGGTTAGAGATTACAGGTTGCAGGTTAGAAGGCATTGTTGCAGCTTTCAATGTTTTATATCTCGAACCCACCCCTGTGATCGATTAGACTACTTGAGAATGACTTCGTAGAGTAAGTCTCACACAACCCTTCCGCAGACTGGGATAAAACGCATCCAGAGGTCTCTGTTATACTATTTAGTGGTCTTGAAGTATGGCTGCAAACTGCCGCGTCAGACATGGCACAAAATTAAAACCATCCCCTACCGCTCCTAATTTCCCGGCATTTGCATCCCCCCACGTAATTATACCGTCCGCTAAACTTGATCGATCGCTGGCTCGAGTTATAAATATTCCGACTTGGCCCAAATAGACGCCTTGGGTTTCCCGAAGGACTGGCCCTCAACCGGGGGACCAGCTCTCAGACAAGTCCCCCTGGTCTGGTCGTTCGGGTTCCTCCGTTGAAATCTCCCGAAATTGTGGTAACTGGGTCAAAAGGAGCCCGATAGCATTCCTTCACTAACCTCTCTCTGACAATGCATGAACCGTTTATGGGGTTTCACTTGGCAACTGATGGATCAACCCGCGGCTATACTCGAATCAGCGAAGCTCGTGCTGGCCTAGTTCCACGAGATTTTACTGTAGCGAACACCTGGTTCGTCCCGGACCCGAGAAAGAGGCGCACGGTGCAAGTGAGTGGCGACCCAGCATTATTATACCGTTGATAGCAAGCCTATTCCCAGGTAAACAACATGGGTGCGAGTAAGGTTCCAAATTCCTTCATATCAATAAGTGGAAACATAGCCATGATAAGAGAACATATAAATTTCCCAATCTCTTCATGTTGTACCGCAAGTGTAGCCATCATCATCATACATTCTACTACTTCCTTCCACCTCTCACAAAATGCATCTCGTCAAAACCTTCATCTCACTCTTCGCCCTCTCCGGTTTTGCTGCTGCCCAGCTAGGCGGAGACTTCGATTCCGAGTACGGCCTTGCTCGCCGCGAGGTCGAAATGGCCCGGGATGGATACCTTGCCGCCCGTGACGAGTTCCTCGTCGCCCGCGGTGAGTACATTGAGAAGCGTGGCCTTTTGAAGGTAAGAGACTTCCGATGCCGCTACTTCTTCTCGACGCCCTTGGATTTCTAACAGGTTTTGCAGAAAAAGGGAAAGTGCTACAAGGACGGCATTCAGAATCTGTGCGGGACCCCGGTCAAGGGGGGTGCTATGAGCCCGTGCGGTATCTGCCCCCGTGGCTTTGAGGGAAAGTCATGCCCTTGCCCGTAAATGCTTTTCTGATTTCTCAGAGCCAGTTCGCTGACATGGGGAGGCAGCGGTGTATTTTAGAAAATTATAGACATTTGTATCAAGGCAATTTGGTTTCCTCGTTCCTTTGGCTGAGCAGGTGAACTTGTAGACGAATATTCCGGGATATGACTGAATCCCTGCATAGGTATTCTCCGGGGCTGCCGGTGTCACATGCGGCTCAAGATGGTGATGCGCATGGCGAGCCCCGATATGTTTGATCCAAATGGCTACGGCCCAATCAACAGCTGATCGACCGGCATCATTGTCCCAGGGTCAAGTCAGATGCAGTACAACTAACAAGCCACTCTTGACCTCGGAAACGCGACGTATTCCACGCGTACCTTCCCAGGATATAGAAATGGGCGCAGCAGGTAAGATTCTCACCGGTCTTTTGTCTTTGATCCAGTCTTCCTAATAAGTCTATCAAATGGTAGGACCAAATGATGAAGGAATCGCGTCGATCAAAGACGCAGAGGGGACACGGGCCATGGTCTACACTCCTACAGGCGCTCTATTTCAATCGACACCAAAGAGTCTCAAGATTAGCAAACCTCAGACGAGTTGGTACGACCCTATCTGCGGGGTATATATGGTGTTCAAGCATTCAAAGGCGGGGGAGGACAGCACTGTGGTCAAGTTCTGTCCACCCACCAACAGGTAAGTCACGCATACTGGCTTTGAGAACTAGAAAGCCAACATTGGGCCATTCCATGATGGAAGTTTTGGCATGTAAGACGTTTTTCTTCGTAGAAATAGAGCTAGTTCTAAACAGGTAGATACAATCCCTCTAATAATCATCAATAGTCGTTACGTCAATGTTGGGCAAATTTTCGCGCGCCACGGCACTCCTCGCCCGACAAGTGCTACGTATCCGATTGTGCAGGACATATTTAGCCCCCTGCTCAAAGCCCACACAGGGCCAGAGTTATGGTAGTCATCTCTGGCTCGCCGTTCAGGTCTCCAAGATACGCAGCTATTCCATCTCCTACTGTAGCAACAGCCACAGCCGCCTCGTTGGGATTATGAAGAATCTCGGGGGCGATATCTTGCGTCTCGGCCGGTGAATTCGGTGTCGTCTGATACAACGCATGTGTTGGTCTGACGTTCTTGACGAACAGTGCCTTTTGAGTGTACTGCGCAGGCAGCTCCACGGCGCCAGGCGAAGGTTCCCAGCCTTGAGGGTTCAGCGTGTGTGTCAGCCTATGCGTAAGCCGCTTGTATGAACCTGCCTCCCAGGGCAGATCGATCTGATTGAAAAAATTCTGGAGGTCGGGCGGGTTCACGCTGGCCGCGAAGTGTCCCATGAAGATGCCTGTGCCGCCGTTGCGGATGTATCTGAAGACATGGCTTCGGACCAGCAACGCTTCATGCTTGATCAATGCCGGGTCGGTGACAATGACTGCTCTGGGCGGCGGCTCGTTTGTGAGAAAGCGCAAGGCTGACTTGTTGGTTTTGGCGCGTTTTAACTTCGCGCCAGTCGACAGCCTGGCCAGTAGGCTTTCGAACATGTCGTCGAAGAAATCTTTGTGGCCCAAAGAAATAAGCAAAATGCGGTTGTTCGCTGTGTCCGCCATGGTATGCGCTTGGTAGGGTAAGGAAAGCGGGTTTGTGGGTGGGAGAAATCTCGCGAGGGCGCGGGGTGGCCTTCGGTCGTGTGGAGGGATAAACGCGGAAAAGTGAGGCTGTTACACTGCCAATAAGAAATCTCGCTGCTTACGCGGTGCCAAAGTCAAAATCGGGGGCCGTGTAACGTCGTTTCTCACAAAGTGTGTGCGGGACCATGAGAGGAAAAACCAATTTCGCGTACCGTGGCGAGTCAGAGCACTTTACGACCGGACAACGGGTCAACTGATCGAACTCATCGCATGTGTGCCTGCCTGCTCTGTCCGAGAGGGGAGGGGGAGCACATCTATCAATCACCTCTTTAGCAGGCCTCTCGACTCGAGCAGGCCGCCGAGGGCCTTCCACTTCACAGGCTTGGTAAGGAACAAATCCATACCACTGCCGAACGCCTCCTTCTGGGCATCTTCGGAAGCAAGACCCGAGAGTGCAATAATACAGGCCGGCTCCAGTCCGTTGAGCAATTCGTGCGCTCGGATCCTCCTTGTCGCCTCGAATCCATCCATGACCGGCATGGATATATCCATCAAGATGCAAGAATATGCGAGAGGAGACTTGGAGAAACAGTCTAACGCATCCTGTCCATCCATTGCGGTCTCAAAGTCCAGGTTTGACTTCCTCATGTACGCTGATAGTACTTTTATGTTGATGTGGTTGTCGTCGACAAGAAGAAATTTGGTGCGAAGAGCCAAAGGTGCAGGCTCTGGCAACGCCTCGTCCCCAGAGCTCAAGCCTACCAGAGTATCGCTAGAACTGGTCGCTGCATCTTGACTTGGCGTAAAAGGACCAGAAAACACGCTTTCCAACTCCGTCTCGCTTGTGCTATCTCCCTTTCCAATGAGACTGCCTTCCACCACATCTGGTGAACTCTCACCCGACAAGGTAACTTCGGGCACACTGAAGCTGCTTGGTGTTCTCGCAGGACCATCGGGTCGCTGGACCAGTAGAGGAGACGGCTTGGTAGTCGAACGCTTCTTCGTCGGGCCCATCCAGCGCCGGTAGGCCAGTAACAGCGTTTTTGCCAGCTTGCGAGGGCCGATTCTGGCGGTTTTGTGAGTAAATCATTGGCTGGGAGCGTGGCTGGGAAGTGTTTGAACTTACGGCTGTGATATAAACTCAAAAATGCCAAAATGGCCCTGTGAGCCAAAGTCCTCGGATTTGCGGTATGCTTCAAGCGCATTCGAGCAAATGACAATATTAGGAGCTTCGGCGAGTATCTTGATTTCGTCGTGATCCTTGGGGATCGCGTCGTGTGCCCAAATGATGAGGTCGGGCATCATGTCCTTATCCTCATCCACTACGACCTCCATCTGAAGCCAGTGCGCGCACACGTCCCTAATGTGGTCCTTATGTTCCTCCATCTTTTCGCGACTCTCGGGTTCGGGGCGACACATAATCTTGACTCGGAGTCCTCTTAAATCTCGGAGCCAACCCTCGAATTCCTTGTCGTCGTCGGAGTAGAACTGTGCGACCTGTGGTTTGGCCACTGGTTCCAAGGGCAGCTCGACCGTCACCGTTGTGCCAACATCTACTTTACTCTGAAGTGCAATCCTGCCGGCAAGCTGCGTTGTGATGCGCTTGACGAGACTTAGACCGAGGCCGGTGCCCGGTGCAAGAGTATCTTCCTGGCTGAAAGGCCTGAACAGTCCATGCCGTAAATATTCGGGTCCAATGCCTTTGCCAGTGTCCTGTACCACGAATCTGACAGCGCGCTCGGACTTCTGTCCTCTGAAATGAATGGTGTCTTGAGTGAGTGATACTCTGATTGATCCTTGCTGGGTGTATTTCAATGCGTTCCCGAATATATTCATAAGAATCCTTCGGAAAGCTCCTAATTGCACACAATACATCCAGTCGCAGCCCGGGTCAATGTGCAGGAATACCACCACATTAGCGAACCGGAATTCCATGTCCTCACTGTTCTTGCGTGAGCCATTTCTCCCTCTCTCTTTTCTCCCTAGATGCCTGATGAAGGGCAGCGGCTGCTTGCTTGGCGAATTTTGGAATGTAAAGCCGGCAAATACGCTTTCAATGACTTCTTCTGCAAGACCATCTAACCTGCAGTTGGAAAACAAGTTCTTTTTGCCAAAGTTCCTCCAGTCGACTCCTGCAACAGCTATGGGCGATGGCTCCAGTTTGCGAACCCTCTTTTTTACCGTGAAACTATTGACCTTTGAAAAATCAAGCAAGTGGTCTATAGTATCCAGGAGGGTGCGGGAGCAAGTCTCGATGGTATGTGCCGTATTGCCTTGAAAAACATCCATGTCGGTGTCCAGTAACAGCTCCGAGCTTAATAAGATTCCATGGAGAGGAGACCGCAGCTCGTGGGAAAGCGATCCCAAGACGTCAGATTTGGCTTTTTCGGCCCGTGATGTGTGAAAACGCAGGACTTCTGCCATAGCAAGCGTTCCAAAAGCTCTAAGAAACCCCAAGTCTCCGAGGATCGTCAATGCTCTGGAGGGATCTTCGGTATAGATGAATCCTCCAGCATACCACCTCTCCTTCCTGGGATCCCAGATGGGTATAAATGCGACACTCCGGGCGTTCGGGAAAGCTTGAAGAATGATGTTCCCTTCATTTCTGCGGCTCCATGGATTCTTCCTCGGCTTGTTTTTATGCAGAGTGGTATTCCGGTCAGGGGGCGACCTCGGCCGCTCTGTCGCTTTGTGTGTCGGAGAGGAGGCTCCCAGCTCATCCTCCGAGGAGTCGGAAGCCTGCAATTCGCCATCTGCGTCAAAGTTGAAAACCTTGCCCCTGGGGTACCGATGTAACAGTTTTCCCAAGAATCGTTCAGCGATAACAGACACAGGCCGCTTCACAACCAGGCCATCCGCATTGGAAGCACCTGACGTCGAGTATCCAAGAAGGTCGCTTGTTTGTCCAGATGTCTGGCTGTTCTCGAGATCTTGGCTTTCGTCGCTGCTGCTGCTGGTGGCGGACCTAAGCCCCATAGAGTCTGTCTCCCCAAGATTCAGTGACGAATTCACTCTGTATGACTCCATAGAAGCGTCAAAAAAGAAGCACCCATCTACTTGTACCGACTCCCTGATGATGGCAGCAGCTTTAGTGAAGATGCTTGTGGGACTCTTGGCCTTGGACGGCTGGTATTGTTCTCCCTCCTCTCTTTCTTCATCCCCTTCCTCGTCCTCGTCAAACTCCTCCTTAGAATCCATACTCCTATCCTTGTCAAGCCTGTCCGTGGCGGCTGCCGAGCCACGGCCAATGTCGCATATGGAATATACAGCCCGCTTTCCTTCAATAAAGGAGGCTAGGCCACGGTTCATGCGCTCGCTTCGCCCGTAAAGATCGCGTAGCCTCTGGGCCTCGAGGTGGCCCATGATTGTCTGTGAAATCTCTCTCAGCCGCTCGGTATAATCATCGGTCCAAGGCTTGTTCGGAGTCGAGTCGAGAACACAATATACACCAATGTTGATTCCTCGTCGGGTTCGGATAGGTACGGCGGCGTAGAAGCGAGCCAGCGACCCAGGACGGCAGAAGGGCGAGGCGGAAAATCGAGGGTCGGTGGTGAGGTCTTGAGACAAGGTGAGTGGGAGAGAGTCGGTTTCGTTCGGTTCCTTGGCCATCGAAACCCCATATGGGGAAGTATCGTTCTTCAGAGACAGTTCGCAAACGCCATGGATCCGAGGTATCGAGGTTCCGCATAACCAAAGAGGGTCGTGGCACTGGTCACCTGGAAGAGACGGGTAGACGGGCTGGTGGACAGTTGCTTCAGCGACAATGTACTGGGCCGAGCAGTCGAATAATGATATTAGCGATCGTTGGGTGCCGGTCTGGCAAGCGCCAAGCTGGGCGAGGGCAGTAAGGACAGCATCGCCAGAGGAGACCAGCTCGCGACTGGGGATGCCTTCACCGGAGTCGTTGAATCGGCTGGTGAGAGAGAGGGAGGGGTCGTACCTGGTCGCATTTCAAAGGTCAGCCTTTTGGGATCGTGTTTCCAAGTGAGGGGACGAATGGTGGTGGGGGGACCAACTTGAAGGTTTCACGCTCTCGGACGCCTTCTGAGACTTGCTTGTGAGGCTTCACGGAGACCATGATGGGAACATTTCGCATTCGCAGCCTTGACAGGTTTGGGTGAGAGAGTAGGCCGATGCTGCATAGTGACGGACGAAAGTCTGGCGGTCCTGCCTAGCTGCGAGTAGGGTTTACCTAAGACAGAGGGACTGCCTTGCTCTTGACTCGATCTGATCATCCATATCTTCGATCTCGATCCAGCGCCTCAGTCTCCACTTATCGCCTGCCTTGTGCGGCGAGGCGGAGGGAGTGCTCCAGGGGCGTAGATCGCTGTGGCACAGTGGAGTGGTGGTGTGTTTTGGCGCTGTAGCCTCGAGTCTAACCTGTCGCAGCGCCGTTGTGCAGGGTTGTGGCATGTTCGCCTTCTCTTCCCGGGCTGAAGGGCCAATCACACGCCGCGGATCGCTGCCCTGTGTGGCTCACGGATGGCGATCACAGTGCTTGTAGGGCGAGATCCCTGGAACCGACCCAGGCGAGAAATGTATGACGCACCCGAATCACTCGCTATTTGCAAGCGGACGCGTTGAGACCAGTGGCATTCGTGCATGAAGCTGATCTCGAAAACTGCGTGTGCATGAAAATAAACAGATGTGTTTGAGCTGCCCCAAGCGCGGATCACAGCCGACAAGATATGTACCTTGCACCTGCCGTTGGCAAAGATACTGATTAGTAATCCATGGATGCTACCTTGCCTCCACCAGCACCAACACTACCACTGATTCTCCCCGTTCCAGACTCCCAGTGTTCCAGCTTTTCGGGTCAAGGCTACTAGGCCAGTTCTGTGGCTAGAATAAGCATGTCTGCGGATAATATTTAACCTTTCCCAGTTCCAGTCTCTGACCTGGAGTCGAATGTACCATATCGACTCCATGATCTCGAACTCAACCGGCTCCACCTCGCATCATGGGACATGTCGATCTACTTTCCCGTTTTTGCAGCTCAGAACTCTAGCGTGAGTCCTGTCTCCGTTTTCTTCGCTGATCAGAGGGTCGTCGATCACCCGCTGCGCATCTTGTCTACCTGTCTCCTTGAAGCCCCGTTAACTACAGCGAGGTATTCTCTCCACTTATTTTATACAGGGTTCACTCTCAGTGACCTAAAGAGATGCTTGAATATCGAATTTCAAGTGGGTTTCCGCTCAGTGGCAAAGTCCATCTAAGTAGGCTACAGATCGACAATACCTTTAGCTCCATACTAAGTAGGTGGGATATAAGGTATCTCTGAGCATAGGTCTCTCTACCAATCAATACCTTGTAAGTTACACGCTGTAGCTTACGGGGCTTAAGGAGGTGTAAATACATTAGTAAGAGCGGCACAAACAAACTTAGATGTACTGGGTACCTAGATACAACGGGGAAGAGAGAGTCGCCTTGCAGTCTAATTCAATACATGCCGCATATAACTTACCAGGAAACATTTCAGGCTAGCCCTGATTATCCTTAGGCAGGCTGGTGGGTGAAATAAAACATGGCACACCAAAGCTCTTTTCACGTAAGGCAGGGACCTCACTTTTTATTAAACACAATAATAAGAGGAGAATAATAAATTATTCTACGATATTTAGCTTGATATTGTATGTATTACTAGATTAATTATTTTAATATTGTGTCAAAATTCAATGCTGGAGTGTCCAGGTGTGCCATGTATTATGTCAGTCGCTTGGCAGGCTGGTATCCGAAGTCATCGCCGAGTGGTCCGCTCGTTTACAGCCCCAGCGGGAAAGTTTCCATAAAGCGTATCCCGCCTTGACCATTGTAACCACACTTGCATGCCTTGACACATCATTGTACAGAAATTTCTATATTATAATTATAATTAACACACAGACACATGGACAAGTTAGGGTATGGCAACTGGCTTGCGCTTCTCCAAACGAGTTGATGCGAAACCTCCCGTTCATAAGAGCTACCTACACCCCCAACTCTTTGGAGATGGTTCTTCTTGTCTGATGCTCCCTTGGTTCTTCTAACTCTTCATCATATCCTTCACCCAATTTCGTAAACGTGACTTTAAGCGCTCAAGTTTCTGCATCACACGATCGCGCGTGGAAAGTCGTTGGTTTTCAGGACTGATTTCTCTCATATTTCCAACCGCGGAATCGTTCGCAATCAGAAAATCCACCAGCTTTGTTTCCATAGAGTCAATAGAACTCTTTAATCCATCGCTTCCGTTGCTGTGCGCGCTTCCAAGGCGTGTGTCCGGATTAGAAATGGCATCTGAAGGAGAGAGAAACCGACGGCTCTGCCTCTGCGTCGGCTGCGATACAGACCCTCGATCAATTGTCGAAGCGGCTCTGCTGACGGTCGTGGTTTCCATTGATGTCCGCCCACTCGAGGTGCCAGGGACTCCTAGTAGCTTTTGTAAGAATATCTTTTCGTCCAAGTCGTTGGCGTGGGTTTCATTAGGCTTGGTTTTGGACCAAGATTCTGGTGGGAGCCTGCAAAAGCTTTCAAGATATTTCTCGGTCTGCTCTTCTTGTTAGTAGAATTCGACCTCTTGGGAGACTTGGTTGACTTACATCGGATGTGAAAAGAGGGGGGAAGCTGTTGGTGCCAATCTCATCCAAAGGTTGATCGAGACGATATCCGTGACCATCGTCGGAATTTGCAAGAATATACTCCATCTCAGTGCATATTTTATCGATCCTGTATCGCTGGCCGGGCCGTTCCCTTAGCATATGGTTCTTGATTAGATCTAGAAATAGGCCAAGCTGCTCAGAGCAATACCGCTGCTGGCGTAGAAAATCACACCACTGGATAGGAACGGCAGTCAGCATATGTGCTTGCAATAGCGGAGAGCGGGAGCGTCTTAAGCGAAAAGCCCACCTTTGGGACCGAGCCTTTTACACTAGGCCCTCTCTCTCCGTCTATGTTGAAGAACTTATCCTCGACATGGTCATATTGTTTAGTATCCTCCAACTTCCGTAGAGTCTGAAACCCTTGAAGCACCTGAGGCTCATTTGCTCTGTTGAACTTCTTATAAATGGCCTTGGATCCGAGCAAATGCCAAGTTATTAGTTCGAGATAAACGCAGCCTAACGTCCACACGTCATACATTTGGTTGACTGGCTCCGTGCCGCCCATCCTGGTTTCGGGTGGCTGATAGGTTCGAGAGTATCCAACTTCAGAAGCCGTGCCCCGGTCGACAGATTTAGGGGAGTGGAATCTCATAAGAGTAAAGTCAGCAATGACGAGCCGATATTTGGTAGGGTCGGTAGTATCGTCGTCGCCCTCTTGAGAGCTAAAGCAAAGGATGTTGAGCGGCTTGATATCTCCGTGTCGACCCCGGTTCTGGCGACCTTTCCAACTGTTATGCCTGTGAACTTTCTGTAGAGCCTTGGCGAGGCCATGGCATTGGCGAAGCATCCAATCCAGCGACTTATTGGAGTCTGGCTGGTTTGGGACATTTTTCCAGAACTGCTTAAGATTGTATCTAGCCCAGGGGAAAACCATGTAATATGTGGTTTCCGTTTCATAAGACATCAAGAGTGGAATAAGATGTATATGACCTGATTGGGATCCGCTGAATCGTTCCAGAGCTACTCGCTCATGGTAAAAATCGTCCTTTTTGGATTCGCGATCACGATGGAATTTTTTCAACGCATAAAACGGCCCAGGGATTCCCCAATTCTATGCAACCAATTAGTCAATGAACGAAGTACGGGGGCCATGTTATGCTATCGAGTACGTGGAAGCGGTTTTCTGTACCTCGTGCTCTTCACAGAAGAAGTGATCATGGTGGAACCGCACTTTGCACACTCGCCCATGCGTCCCCGACCCTCCCTTAACCTGCTCTTTGTATAAAAGAGGTATCCGTGTCTCGTTTGTGAGCTTATAATGCTTGATCTTTTGGGAGTTGAAATGGAAAAAGGGAGCAAGGACAATATACTGCTTTTCAACAAACCAGTCTGCATCCTTGTCGGTAAAACCTTTTTCTTGAAACACTGCATGATCGCGTATAAGAGGAAGCGAAGCGTCGAACAACCTGTGAGAACGAAATAACTTGATGTGCTGCGGCTTCTCTAACCGCAAGAGAAGCGCAAATATCCGGGCACGACTCGTCTGAAAGCCACTTCCCCATATTTGGTTGTACCATACAGCAGAGTCTTCACGTGGAAACCAGTGCTGCCTCATCTCTTCCAAGTTTTCGCGGCTGAGAACTGACTTCAAACCAGAAAGGGGAAGGTATTGGTATTTTGAAGGAAACCCTTCTGGGCGGAGCTGGGGGGTAATCATGCTATAGTAACGACTCTCCTGCAAATCTCTTGATGTTAATGACAGGTACACCTCTTCTCCATTGTATTTTACTCACAAGAGTACCAAATAGACTCTCTTCCCCACGCTCACAAGCTTGACATTTCCGCTCACTTGCAACAGGGGGAAACCTACGCCTGTCGTTGAGTAATCTCTCCCACTCGCCAAACCCCTGATCTGTGACGATATCATCTGGATCCATGATAGGAATATCTAGAGCACCGAAAAGAAGAAATAAAGGATAAAAAGGGGTAAGGCAGAATCACTATCCAGAATATTTGGTTTATCGAATGTCGGAGTTACCTTATAGGCCACCTTGTAGATCACCAACTGAATGAACAACTACTCCCTATCTTAATATTGGATCGTGTCAGAAGTGCGGTAGCAATGACACTAAATAACCCCTCGCCTATCGATCCTATGAAATCCACATCCTAACTAGTACGCGATCACAGTGCGAGCCTTATTTTCATCAAGCCCTACCAACTCCTTCCTTAGACTGTGTTTGCCTGCTGCACCTGGGGGCTGTAGCTGATCACCCCTGCTCCTCAGCGGCAATCCTGTGGGCAGGCTATTTATTGCCTTGCAGCAACTAGGGCTAGAGGTGCAGGCTATTATTGGCCTCGTCTGCACCACTATCCATTCCACATTTGTGAATAGCCTCGAGGGATGGGCCGGAGGCGGGGAAGGCCAAAGACCCTTTACAGCCGCAAGCTCTAGAATTATCTAATCATCTGCCCTTCTTTAGCTTGATATTTGGCTGTTAATAGCCTGATCAGCTGCAAAAGATCATCTCCGAACCGAAAATGCAGCGTGATACTACGTAACTAGGATGTCCGCCCCCTGCAGTGGCTGGAGGCTGAAGACCCCGAAGCGGCGAAGGGCCTTCGCCACTGCAGCGTGCAGGAAAAATGACAAGAGACGGTCACTCCGTCAGCGGCCACCACCTTCTCAGGTGCCATTGGATGGGTTGGCTGGACCACGCTATACGTAATATCACATCATGCTGCCAATAAGCACCTAGCCCCTTATCAACCGTATGATCAGAGGGGGCGAGACATCAATACCTGATTCATGCTTCAGGCTGAGGCGCAGCGTAAATACTTCTTCATAAAGACCACCGGTCCTCCCCCCGGTGGTTCCCCAGCCTAACGCTTCTCGCAAACAGATCATTCAAAGATTTTCCGTCTGTCTCCTTCTCGTTCTCATCTTCAAGATGCCGGTCGAAGAATGTCGTATTCAGTGCTGGCATATCAAGAATCCTCAAAGCCTGGTCAGAAATCTCCAGATATTCTGCAGGAAAAACAACATTGAGATTCAGAGCCTTGAGATGAGAAACGACGAATACATCATTGGGATCAGGCGGCTGCCAGCTGTTAGCACATAGACTTGGGCGAAAAAAGGCAAGATACTGTCCAGGCAACGGCTTATCATCAACCCCTCAGCTGACCGTATGCCTGCAGAGAGTAAGCATGCATGCATGTGTTTTCGGAGAATAGTTGCACATTGGTAGTTAGTGGAGGGTCAGCAAGGCGCAGCCGGTCAGAAATAAATAGCTGAAAGCGCTCTGGAACGTGCCACAGGGATGGAGGCCCTGTGGGTGCGCGATGAGCTGAAAAAAAATAGCAAATTCATCCAGCAATAATTGGGCAGCGTGACGCCTCACATGTGAGAGACACTCTTGGCACCTGTATGTTGCAGTCTCGTGTCTCACCCTCGCAGTATTCTCGCACTTTCGACCCACGAGTCCCTCTATCTCTCAACCAATAGTCTCATCTACTGCCTAATAACTAAAGCCATACAGCTTCACCGGCTCGCCAAGGTGGAGTTATCACCAGCAGGTGTGCTGTAACATCGCATTACGCCTGCATGATGACTGGTCCACATCGGTAATGCTTGAAAATACACGGGGGTTGGTCAAGAGATCGTAGGGCAGATTAGCAGGCGTATCCAGCAGACCATTGATTTGCACCTTTCTTTTCTCATGGTAACCCACGCCTCGAGTCTCAACTCCAACACACATTACGGTAATTGGTGGGGAAATAATGGGACCTGAGGGAGAGAGGCTGCGACGTTATGACGAGCAGAATGTGCACTTCGTAACCGTAACACTTGTTTTCGTCAAATGTGTATTTTTATGCAGACATGATGGCGGATATGACTGCATATATTGTTCCCGGCGACCCCCCTTACTTCACCAGAGGGCAAAGAAACTTCATCCTTCTCTTTAATTAAGACATCAGACCAATCCATCTATAAACTCCCCTGATAAACTGCAACGTTGAAAACTACCAACAATGGATCGCAAGAAGTCTCTACAGCCTGTGACCTATGGCATGTTAAAGCAATGCATGAAGAATTTTCGGCCAACAGACGAATTTTCTACCTTTTTACCACGAGAATACATTTTTGAACTCGCCAGTGAAAAAAGTGTAGCGTCTACCTTGTCGTCCACTGACCTGTTTCAAGAGGACGAGGTCGATGAGGTGGCACGCTATGTAGCGAAAAAGGCACCAAGGCTGTTTCTGTCTCTAATTTTCGCCGGCTGCCTTCCTCTACTTAAGGTTTTAGTAAAGAACAAGTTCACAGATGTCGACTTGCCTATTGCTTATGAAGGATCGCCGGAGAGCGCAAGCGATATCCAAAGACTGTGCCACACCGACCAACTTGAGATCCCGTTCAATTCAGCACGCCCTTCGGAATATTTCCGCCAGCTTGATGAGAAGCCTCTTGACGACTTCATTGAAGACCAGTGGGCATTCATTGCCCCCGCATTCTCAACCAGGGAATTTTCAACCTACGTTTTCCACCCCAGTCGTCGCTTTCCATACTCGCCCCCGGCGAAACCAGTTCGGCATGCCGGTTCCTTTTTCAGTGTCGTGTGGAATGTCATTTTACATGATTATGGTTGGGACTACAGGCTTAATTATTATGTACGCCTTTTCGTTTCCCTTTCATTATCGAGAACATGTTTTCTGATATAGGTATACTCTAGACCTCCAAGTCACAAAAGGGAACCGAAGTCGCAATCAAATCATTGTCTACAGCGGACGACGATTCCGGAGTCAAAGTCGACGAGTTCTACAAACGAGAAGTCGAGACCCTCAAAAGAATGACAGACATGGCCGCAGCAGGTGAAAAGCATCTGATTCGGGCCATTGCAGCTTACGGAAGCGGAAACAAGAGACATTTTATCTTTCCGTGGGCTAATGGTGGCAATCTCGACCAATTTTGGCAGTCTTTTGACAGTACCAAGTCAGATGGGAGAGACAGCCGTATTGAATGGTCCCTGGAGCAGATGGTTGGGATTGCTCAAGCTTTGACAAAACTCCACGAGAGTGGCGTTCGCCACGGCGACATCAAGCCACAGAACATTTTACACTTTACATACGCCCCCGGTTCAGTGTCGGGAGACCTGGTGATTTCTGACGTTGGACTTGCAAAGTATCATGAAGCTTATACGCGGGATCGGACCAAATATACGACAACCAAGAGCGTCACGGTTGACTATCAGCCACCTGAACCTGAGAAGCTGGTGCGGTCGCGAGTCTATGACAATTGGTCGTTAGGCTGCGTGTTCCTCGAATTCACAATCTGGATTGTTGAAGGGTATACCGGCCTGTCTAAATTCCGGAGCAATCTCAAGGATAAGAACAACTTTAAAAGGTTCTGGGCTTATGGTGCCGAGGATGTGCCAGAAGTCCATCGTGTTGTTTTGGACAAGATGGGTGAAATGCAACAAGAGGGGCCTTTGGCTTACTTGACCCGGCCTATGGCTGACCTTATTAGCACAAAGCTTCTAATCGCCGGGAATACTTATAACCCGAGTGAAGAGCATCGCATATTGGAAGATCTCATCCACATCCAGCGTTCGCATGAGAAGATTTTGCGGGATGGGCCTGAGCCACCTCAGGCAATAGGCCGTGATCAGCAAGATGTCTCCTCTGGTTCGATAGACCAGGAAAGAACCGGCATTTCAAATAAAGTGAGAAGAATCCGTTTCAATTCAAAGAAGTACAAACGTATTAACTAACAATCCCAAATCAGTATGTAAGTGGCTCAATCTGGCGCTGTTGTTGGTGTTAAACTACTAATCATGAATTGGTCTTGGTACAAAGAATGTAAGCAATCACCCACCAGTCTAAATTTCTCCCAATTTGATACTGACTTCTATTAGCCAGTAAGTATATATACAGAGATACCTTTAGCAATGCACAACAAGTTTCTAATGCCATCAGCATACGACCAAACTCAAAGATGAATGGCAGAACACCACGGACAGAACTCTAGCAAACCGAATAATAGCAGAGCTTGGTTGGCCCTCTGTGAGGCCACCGCTGGAGCCGTCAGTCTTGTGCGAATTATGCAATAACTGGAATCCTGAGACACCTATATGGGAACTTGGCCGTGATATCGACGAACTAAAACATGGCTCCCAGGCGTGTAGCCTATGTCAGCTTCTGCTCCAATGTCTTTCAAGCGCTAATTTGAAGAGTGGCGAATTGATAACTCTATTTCGAGAGGAGCAATCCTATACCTTGCGACTTGTCCCTGGAGGCCCCTCGTTGATATCATTGTATTCTGATCCAGGTATTTCTTTCTTAGTGAGCATCTTACTGTATTCTTGCTCCAAGCTAAAAGGTTTCTAGGTCCAGCCAGTGAGGATCGATCATATCCACCACCTGGTCTTCCACTGCTCCCTCACCCAGCCAGTCGCCAGCAATCCCAGTTGCTTAATCGTTGGATACACGAATGCAATGACACGCACAAGTGTATGGTTGAAACGCAAGATGGGCGTGCTCCTTGCGGGCAGATGCCCACAAGAATGATTGATGTCGGGAAGGACGAAAACTCCCCCGTTCGACTCGTGGAATCTGCGCTGCTGCCCAAAGACAAATGTGCCGCCTTGAGCCACCGCTGGGGAGATGTTTCACAATATGGCCAATTTTGTACTCTCGACAGTAACATTGACGATTTCAAGCAAAGTATTCCCTACGACTACCTCCCGAAGAGTTTCCAGGATGCTATACGGGTCACGCGCGCGATCGGTGTTCCTTATCTGTGGATTGATTCCTTGTGTATCATTCAAAGGAACGCTCAAGACTGGGAGAAGGAATCTTCTCGCATGGAAGACGTGTTCAATTCCGCATACTGTGTCCTAGCCGCCACTTCTGCCGCCTCGTCACTGGAAGGGTTTCTAGGGGAGAGGGAGCCGCGTGAATCCGTCATTGTACAGAGTCCTAGAGGTCCCATCTACGTATGCAGAGCCATCGATGACTTCGACTCCCATGTACAGCGAGGTCTTCTCAACTCACGCGGATGGGTGCTTCAGGAGAGAGCGCTAGCTCGCCGTACGCTGCATTTCACCTCAACACAGATATATTGGGAATGCGGGGAGACAATTCATTGCGAAACCTTGGCCCAGCTCAAAAAGTAAGCATCTTAGACTCAACAAACGGAGAATAAGAAGTCAAACCCTTGAGCCTTGCATGACTAACTTTGATTGCGTGATAGTCCTCAGTCGCAGTTCCTCGGGGACGCAGATTTTCCCAATTCCGGTCTTCAGTACTACAAGGATGAAAGGATCCGACTTATCCAACATCTCTATGAGCTTTACAGCGGTCTCGGATTGTCCTACCCAACAGATCGCCCCAAAGCCATTCTAGGGCTTGAGCGGCGATTAGGTCGTGTCTTCAAGTCCCACGCTCAGCATGGCATCTTTGGTCTATTCTTTTTCAGAATGCTTCTTTGGCGAGCCCAAGAACGTGGGAAGCTTACTCGGACTTTCCGGCCAGAAGAACGGCGTGTTCCATCCTGGTCTTGGATGGCTTGTGCTGGGGCAATCACTTATATGGATGTTCCCTTCAACAAGGTGACTTGGTTAGACAACTTGAAGAACCCTTTCACCTCTACTGAAATGGAAGTAACCGATGAATGGGATGGCCGCCTCTTCGCTAAAGCAAATGACCTCATAACTTTTTCCTGGAGTAAGAAAGTTGATCTTGTTCTCGACTTCGAGGTTCAGAAGCATGGTTTCAGCAATTGGAAGTGTGTGTTGCTTGGCAAAGAAAAGGGTGACAGTTCATCCAACGGACCATCTTATTATGTTTTATTGATAGCGGTTGTACCGGGCACCGTTCCATTCATCTGGCAGAGAATTGGTGTTGGTAAAGTCCACCACACACTGATCTCTCCCAAAACCATTCGTGTTATGGTCGGTTAAAACCTCAAAGACCCTTAGACCTTAAAATTCTACAACTCATATATTTCTAACTCTAGCAGAAGTCTGGAGTGGATATCATTAATAAACTCATTCATTCACCATCCATCTCATCTTCACCCTTCATCGTGTTCTGGACCGCGGCTTGAGCCATCTTGCAATCCGCTTCAATTGTAACATCGTATCCGAAGATAGCCATGTAGTTCCTTGAGCTGATATACCAGCATCTTACGTATCTGAGCTCTAATGGTGAAAAAAGACGGTCGGTCGCGTTGATTTGAGACTCATACTCGTCCAACCAAGAGGCGTCGCTGTCATCGCTGGCAATACCAGCCTCAGCCATTAAAGCCTTGGCTATGATTCGAGCGTCATCGCAATCTGACCCCAAAGCGGGGTCGAGTTTTTGAATGAGCAAAAAATTTTGCGTTGAGCCGTATTTTCTCTGCAGCCATTGAACTTGCCTTGGTGAAAATAGATAGTTTGTCTCAAGCATGGGCTCATATTTAGTCTCAAACATGGGCTCTTGGTATGAATGTTCGCTGTCTGTAAGGTTGGCATCGCTATCATCAGAGTCGTCCATGGTGAAGGCCTTGGCTAAGGCCTTGGCAATCGCTTGGGCCTTCTCACAGTCCTCTTCTTTGTAGGGCTTGAGCCCAAATGAGAGCATGAAGTACACCGAGCTGCCATAGACGCCTTTCATCCACCGCAGTTGCTTCTCCGTAAACAAATGATCAACATACTGCGCGTCAGGATGAGATTCATCTCCGCCCATAAAAGGGTCGCCCTCTTCCTCATCCTCATCGTCCTCGTCATCGTCTTCAGAGGTGGGTAGCTTTTCTAACACGAGGTTTCGCAGCATGGATAGAGCCTGCTCAGAGTCTTCATTTTCGCCAGAGAAGACGGATAATGTGGATTTAATGTCATTCTTGCGTCTGATTTCAGTGAAGACCCGTGTCTGCTCGCTTTCAGGCCAAAAGGCGCCGATCACATGTACTATTAATGGTGATGGATCAAAAGGCGAGGGTCCAACTTTGGGTCCGATCGGGGGTCCACTGAGTCGGATTTCAAGGAGCTTAGTGTCAGGCTTACAATACGCCACTTGACGACCAGTGGGATCGGTGAATGCCCTGTCCCTGTGCGAGAAATCGTAGGAGTCGAAGACAGGAGCACCCACAATGTTGCAGAGGACGCTAGGGACATGAAGCACATTTTCCAAACGCAGTGTTCCATGCGAAGTTGGGCCAGTCTTGTTGGCGGCAACCTTGATTGGAAGGTTGACCGTGCCCATGCCGATGACTGGCAGTCTTCCTCCGAACCTGATCTCTACAAGCGATTCGACCGGCGTGTAGTCATCAGCGAACCACGATCGATCCTTGGCGATACTGAATCGGTCAGTTGAAGAGCGAAGCTATTGTGCAGTAGCACTTGGGGTGGGGCATACTGAATGTTAGTGCCATTGGAGACAATCCACGAGGGACATGGGAGAGGGTCCTCCTCGCATTTTGGGGCCGCCATCGCAAGAGTTACAACTTGGAGATGAGATGTCTAGAGAGAATCGGATGGGAGAAAGATCATTGAGGAAAGGGATGGAAACGAATCAAAGTGGAGACTGGTTTGCGTTCGTGGCGCTGCCTTGTGAACCTGAGGCAGGTACAGTCCAGATGATAGACACAGGTGATACGCAAAGCGCATCTTACCCTATATCTAAAAAAGCAGAGAAATTGCATCTTGTTTGTGACTTTTTTATATGGTAAATTGGGTATACGTACCTTGAGTAGGGTCTAATTTTCTTGGGAGGACATTATAAAGCCTGACCTCGTCTCCTAGCCGTCAACTATGGCAGTATATCCACCTTGACTTCTGTACCCAGATGACAGGCCTGGGGTTCGCCTTGGCGACTTTGTGTAGCATGCTATTTTGTCATCTTAAGTTCTTGTTCTCTCTACCTATGAGCAGAATAATGGCTACGTAATGTACTTCCAATAACCTATTCGAATATTACAGTCCTAACTTGAGGTTTGATTGCTCTTATGCCAAGAGATTCCCGGTGATAGTGAAAGGAAAACGAGGTTAGCGATGCTGCTGGTAGATAGATACCTATCTGACGTTTAGAGCTCTGGCGAGAGCTACGTTCTGGATTTACTATGCGAGGAGTTTAATTGTTAAAGCCATAGCAGGCAATGCAAGATCCTCAAACGAACAGGATGAGGAAGAAGCTGGAATAAGATGGTTAAAACTCTTTCAAATCCTAAATCAATCATACAATTATATCTGATCATGAAAACCACGAAATATCACGAAGGTCCCTCCCTACCGGACACCTGATATGGTGAAAGAAATAATGGTTTCATTATACGACAAATGACTATTGTCGTTCAAGCATAGAGTATTTTCGTCCTAGAGAAAAGGAGCTTACTGGTTCGACCCTCTACCTACATTACTCACAAGAGCAAATCCCATCACAGGTGAGCTATTTTCTACATGACCTGGATACAATGCCGTATTCTTCGTTAGATAATTCATGAATGCCTATTCCGGGAGGAGAAAGCATATAAATTGTTTTCTCACAGCACCAGCAGGAGAAGAAAATGCAGAGATTTCCAGGCCATCCCATAGAGATATTCTGGAGGTTCTTCCGAACGGGAGGTATATCACGAGTACTTTTTTAGCTTCCATTACAGTTGATTCGAAGTATCTAGTGCCTACCAATGTGGTTTGACTATTCATTCTTCTACTGTTTGTCGTCGTCGACTTAGCTTCCGCGATAATGGCAGTGGCTGTTCTCTCACATTTCTTTCTTCTTTTCAATTTCTCAACGGAAGCCAGGCGGGGAAGGACAGAAGGCGTAGTAAGCAATTGAGATTCATCGGCTGACCCTGGGACCTCACCTGCGAGGCGCAGTGCTTCGACGTTCAGGCCCCAGGGTCAAAGGACCAATACACTGTTTTTGCGACCTGTAGAAACCCATTTTTGTGATTCTACTTTGCGCACGTAGCCAGAATTATAAACTAAGGTCGTTGAAGGCAGACTCTGCTCTTGAGGAAGCCTGATTAGCCGCTCCTGTGGCCAAGGCAGTAGCAGAGTTTAGCAGCTACTATCAAAATCGGACGACAGCAGAGCAGCATTAAATCGCAAAACCCAGTCTACCCATCAGTGAGGAGATGGTAGATTACGGGTAAGGGGAGAAATGTCACTGGTGCATAGTTAGTGTGCGGCACTTGGTTGCGTTTGTTTCAGATGCAAATCGTTGCCATTGCTTTGTGAAATGGAAGCAAACCAGAATTTTTCCAAGTTGGAAAAGAATATCAGGGAAATTACGGTCTGAAAATATTGTAAAATCAACGTTTGAAAATAGGTATCAATAAAATCAATAATAAGTTTAGAACCAGCAAGTCCACACAAGCTAAGGGAACGCGGATGATAGTTGAAGTTTGGGCAAACCTCGGCATGCTAACGAAGTATCAGAGGTACCATTGTAGCACCACACATGCCCAAAACACTGGACGTTATAATAATAGAGCCTATAACACCATATTGAGGGAGTTGTTATCGCTTGTGCGTATCTTCATGAAGGAACTTTTGTACCTAAGGACGAGGAAAGCCCCAACCATGGAATAATTTGGAGATAAACACAAGCCAGATGGTAAATATCCCCATGTTGAACCAATTGGAAACAAGGTATATACAGCCGTCAATATATCAATATCTGCGGCACATATAATCTACTTGAGCTAGAAAACCAAAGGCCATGATGCTCCAAACTAACATATCCGACGAAATGCAGGCTACAAAATCGTCTGCCCGCCTTCAGTAAAACCAAGGCAAAGCAACTGAGCGGTTGTTGACAATGCAGGCACGGCGCTTATACCACTAAGATGTTGTGTGGATGCTAAAGAGACCCCCTTATTTCGGATTCTGATAGCTCACCATCTCGGGAAATTTAGGCTTCGACATAGGTTGAAGGCCAGGATTGGGAGATTGATGCTGGTCAGAACTCCACCCTCAGAACTCGCGGATAAGTGCCGCTTGATGCCTCACGAAAGGAGCCGAATCTAGCCTGTCAAGCCTGTACTGTGTAATAGTGGAACTCAAGTTCGGGACTATCTTGAGACGAACTAAAGCACTGTGACAAGCTAGGGGGGGCGCATCGCAACGATGTCCGGCACTACGCCGCGTGCCGTTATGTTTGGTGGCAGACACCAAACCAACACAAGCCTGACGGTGGCTGATCATTGACCCTGTTCCTTCAATCTCCCTTAGCAAGGCCTTCCTTGACGCAATCTTCCACGTGTGGCACCTGGTCTGCCACATCTATGTTTGTTTCCTCTAGCGTGGGCGTTGATGATACCTCGCTCTGTGACGATTTGTTTCAGACTATTCCTTGAACCCTGCAACGCATCACTCACCGGTCCCGCACATCCTCTCCCAGTGGTTTCAACTCCAATTTCAGTCACACCCTGTCTGAGTTTGAGCCGGCATATAGGGGAGGATACAATGCCCGATCTAGTGTACCACGTCCATTGTACCTTATACTGCTCTGTCCCATCTAGGACTACACTGTCTAGTAAAACCCAACCCGCGTTGACCTGAGCTGAGTTGAAATCGATGGAATTGGCCTCAAATTCATCCGGCTCAGTTCAGTTTTGTACGTAGTATTAAAGTCCCGGCACCAGACCTTGATGATGCAGCTTTGTAGCTACCGGCTTTCACACTCCGCCAGAAACAGGGTTAACTGATGATACGAGCATGACATCTATGGGCATCCTTGTCTATCTGCGATGGCAACAGCGCAGATCATCTCTTTCTGGTATTTGTACGAGGCGCGTTAAGCTGCGGCCTCTGGCACTAATTAGAAGAATGTCCATGCATATCGTTAACATGCAACAGCTACACCTAGTGGTTTTGTGAATCATTCCATTTCCCGCTCCGATTTGTCATGACTTGACTCGTGCCAGGCTTTTCATGTAGAGGTACTTTGATTTACCATCCGGATAGCTTCCTTGATCGTTTGGACTCGGTGGATCAGCCCAGTGGCGCTCCTGTTCCTAACTCACCTCACCCTGGCAGGACCCTCACCCCTCCCTGCTATTTTCAAAATATGTAATAAGGTGATGAGACGGCTCCTGTTTTCTTCCATTACGACTCCAATTGCTCGCTGGAACTTCCGATTTTCTTTCGGTGAACGGTGTTGGTTTACATCAGTCCGACTTCGGTGATTCCAGGCGCTGATGAGTTTTGCTTTCTTCCAACACTCTTTCTTTGATTAATTTTTTCTCGCTGTTTTTCTTCCATCACGCTCACTCCAAGCAATCGATAATTGTGTTGTTATATTTAATGTCATAAGATTCGAGCACGACTGAACGTCGGACGGGCTTTGCCCCTTGAGAGATTCCCTCTACGCGAGCAAACGGAGGCATATCAGTGGTTTTCGCCTACGATACTTAACCACGATACTCTCGGAATGGCTCGACTTCGGGGACTTGTGACAGCCTTCGTTCTCCTTCTCGCTTTTCTTCATAATGTCCGAGGGGACAATAATTCTTTGGCCGAGCTCACGAAGCTGCCTTCTTGTGGCGTACGCCAATTCAATCCTCCATCGCAACGCCTTCGATAACTTTCAAAGACCTAACTCATCAACAGCTCGATTGCTTCACGACTACTATTCCGAATACAACATGCAGCCCGGCAGACCTAAGTTGCATCTGCACCGATTCGACTTTCCAAACCTTAGCATCTCAGTGTATACAAAGCAAGTGTACGGTACGCGAGGCTTTTGGTATGTTTGTCAGGTTCCCGCCCCAGCCTTTGTAGCATACGCTGACGATGTTCTCAAGAAATCAACAAGATCGAAGACGAAGCCTGCGATCGACCTACTCGAAGCCGGAAAGGCTTTCTATTGATACCCCTGGCGGCCGAGATACCTGCTTGGGCATGTCCTTGGATCCAGCTTTATTCAAGGTTAACCACCAGTAACAGATTAGAGATTGATGACTGGATAGTAATGGCTGTTGGAGTATGTGGCTCTTCGTTTACATATACGACCTCGAACCGAAGTGAACCACAAACTGACTAGTTGTGTAGGCTCTATACAGCGCATTCTTGGTGCTAGGACAATACGGTATGTGGATTATTCTCCCTAGTAATTATTTATGCATCGTACAGCCTTTACTAACATTTACTTTAGTTGGTCAAAGGTCTTTTGGTGTTGACATATGGACTTTGGATCCAGATGCCTTAACCATGTCATTCAAGGTTAGTAACCCTTATTCTTAATATGGTGACACCAACTTAATACTTAGAGCCGATTATAGTTATTCTACGTAAATGAGTCCTTCTACGTAGTAACTTTGTGCTTATGCAAAGTTTCTATACTCTTCTTATACCTCCGAATTTTTCCCAGTCAACAATTTCGCTTAGCCGTAAATGGTGCCTTACTGTTGACGATCCTACCTACCGTCGTAATTATGTTTCTACAAATATTCCAGTGCATTCCGATTGCATACATCTGGGAGGGCTGGCAGAAACCAAATTACGTCGGCTACTGTTTGAACCTCAACCATCTGACCTTCATCTCAACTGGGTTCAGCATCGTCCAAGATTTAGTCATTCTTATCCTCCCTCTTCCTTCTTTATTCCAGCTCAACATTAAGATTCGGGACAAGATTGGGTTGGTCTTCATGTTCAGCCTCGGCCTCTTCGTCACGGCCATCTCGTGTCTCCGGACGCTTTACATCATAAAGTTCGACCGCTCCAACACCAACCCCACATGGGAGTACGTCGATCTCATAGTTTGGACCGGCCTTGAGGTAGCCGTTACCATCATTGTGGCGTGCGTACCAGCCATTTGGGTTCTCCTGAAGCGGTCCGTCCCGTGGCTTGCTGGCTCGGGTGGCAGCGGATACATGAAGACAGGGAGTGGGACAGATATCGATCCCGTGGGCCAGAAGAAACCAATAACGAAGGGCGACATACGACATATGGTTCTCCTCCATGATAATCATGATGGGAAAGAAGGCGGAGCAATGGCTGAGTTGGCACCGCCGCCACCGGCAGCACATGTGAATTACTCGCCGGGGCATAGTCCGCTAAGAAGATATGGAAGCTCCCCGACTTTGGGCTCTGGTATTTTGGCTATGAATCGGCCAAAGAGCATTGGTACGAACACGATTGGGTCGCGTTTATCGAGCTACCACGAAAACAATCCTTTTTGAAGGCTTGAAAAATGGCAAATGAAGAATGAAAGAAGGGATTATCAGTTACATGTAAACAAAATACCCTTAAATAGCCTTGTATAACTATCTCTTGAAATGAATGATAATCCTTCAATAAATCTCAACCCCAATCCGATAGAGTAGGAGTTGGATATTGAAGGTCAGGGAATCCGCAGCCTCGTCCTTGTGATATAGTGGCACTTTCAAACAAGCCGTTCTGGAAATCAAGGGCGGTCTTGTATCCCGGAAGAAGCTTAGTTTTAGCAAAGCAGTATCTGTCCCTCAATTTACTAAGACGTTGGTGCCATGGAGAATTTCAATATGCAGCTTTACTCCCTGGCAAGATGGCGTTAATGGATTGAGACCACAATCAACATATACGTCGGCCATTTGAAGATTCATCTGGCCAAATAATCACGGAATTTATGATCAGCAACACATGCCCGCATAGTTTCAAAGTATATTAGTGTGCACACTCTGTTTTTATTAGTCTATAGAAGAAAATCAAACAAAAAAGGAAGTTCTAAACAAGGCTCAAGATGGTCCAAAAGAACGGCTGCGCAACCGTCTTTGAGATGCTATTCCCGCCATTATCCCCCCAATCTCGTATCGAACGGTCTGTGTGAAGTCGCTTGCTGCCCTCCACTTGACACACTTTACTCAGTCTTGCAAACAATGCTGCCAACAACAACGGTGTTGGTGGAGAGGTAAGAAGGTGTCTCCTTGGTGAATGGCAGGCCTCCGGTGCCAGTACCATCGTTGTTCTTGTAAGGTGTGCAGGTAACAGTCTGGACGTCGACACCGCCAGCTCCCTTCAGGCGAAGGGTGGAAACCGTGGCGAGGTCCTCCACGTTCGTGTAGACGGATCCAATAGGGACTCTGACGGTCTTCTGGCAGACGTCACCAAAGGCATTACCGAGGTTTTTCTCGATGGTGACGTACGCTTCGGGAGCGTCACGAGCAGCGGGCTGAGCAGCAGCCAAGCTGAGGACGGAGAGAGCGGCAACAGCGACGGTGGAAGTAGAGAAGAGCATGTTGAAGGTTTGGTTGGTAGTTGGTTGTGATGAAAGGCTTTCGTGTTTTGAAAAGATTGAGCGGTGTGAGCTGAGGTTTGTATTGGAAGCGAGTTGATGGAGTTGTGATGGATGAGAGTTGTAGCAATTAGTGGCGTTGGGCATCGATATTTATAACTAAGCTTTCCAACGCAACAGATTCCGTAGACGTTGTGTCTAACTCACCGTTGCGTCTAATTAAAGCAGCGGGCTATGCAGAACTGCCGATCAAATATGTCATGATGCAATTTTTCTCGTATCGATACGAACTAACCGCCAGTTGTCCTGGGGTTTGGGACGGCAACTAAACTGCTTCCCCTCGTCAGCCCTAGTCATGTCGATCATTTGAATGCTACGTGCGAAATGTCGGGGAATATATCTGTCTACGTACTGCTGCCCATACTGGCCTGTCAGCACTAGCAAGTATCTGATGCCGCTGCTAGGGCAATTGCTGCACGTTGCTCGTATTAATGTACCTGCATGATTTCCACGGGTCAGTCGGCTTGCACGGACCTACATGCTACACCGTTCAACGTACGACTAGGTAGCTGACGATCACTATTGCCAAGTGCTGCATAGCCGCCCAGGAGCCTCCTATCCTATGACCTGGCATTTGGCTTTGGATCGTGTCACATTACACATGCTGCAGACAGCTGGGACCTATCCAATAATATCCAATAGGCAAAGTTTTCGGACACGGAGCTTCACGGCCAAGCCCGACGCGAGACTAATGCACTGCTGAGCTGACACAAGAGTTGAATACGATGTTGATCAATGCTCATACCTAAAATTTCAAGACGTGAGCTTCTCTTCTAGGATAGCAAAATGCTTCTCGCCTCCAGGCAACGGAGATTTTGGAGAACCCCGGATATGTCAAATCCCAGAAGTAATCATACGCTCAAGCCCACATGCGCCCACGAGGTCAATTCAAAACGAACAAGGCCTGTTACAAACAAGACAAATTTGCTTTCTCGATAAGCTGTGAGATAATGTCGTTACAGGCAAGGTTCGCTTGATCTTCGCCATGGATCCGACTGGGACAGTTGAAAGCTCTCAAGTATTTTTACCTGAACCTCAAATACGAAGAGGTGCGATATTTTAAGGACCATTTGATCGAATGCATCTCTTGAGCTCATCTAGGGAGATGCCTGTCGAATCCTCTGTTTTTCGTATCGCCTTCCAAGACCAAGGATTGGGACATGTTCAGAGCAGTTGAGTGAACTATTTGCTGACGACGTCCGCCCCTGAAATACACAATATTTGGAAATTCATAAGCAGAAAATTCCGGTTTTATTCTTTCTTTTGTGAGGTAATGATAGATGTTCTTCGCCAATTTCGTCACTTTTGCCACATCATGCAGTCCCCTTTTGCCCTCGGTCAAATGACAGAAGCAGCAAGCTCTCAAATGCAGAGACATCTGCTGACTGGCGCCGCAGAGACGTAAATTCGTGTATTGTCACTAGAGATGGCCCCCGGCATATCGATGACGCAGTCAGCCAGTCGTCTGCAGTATCGGCGTCCCATAGTTGGGTGCGCACATCGAAAGGTAAGGCCTCGACACACAGCGCCTGAAAGGCATGTCCGCGTCGTAGAACATCGTAGGTAATCAGAAGGATACTGCAGACCATTATGGTACGGCGCACGCTCTCGGCCAAGACCCAAGCCCGCCAGGCGCTCATTTCGGCCGGTAGATGTGACGGTGCGTCCTCCCATAGCTGGTATGAAAGGCTTTGCATCAGTTTGTTGTCTCTTTCAACACCGTGCAGATGGGCCTCGTCTTGACCTTCGAGAAGATGAACCAGCTGTGCTAAGACAAGGGCCTGGGTGCAAGCTAGGAGCTCTATGAAGGACTTTGCTTGCTTTGCTTGACGTAATAGTTGCTTGATTCCGAGCTGAAGAATGCGGTGTAACGTGCCAGTTAGGTGTCCTTTCTGGCTGAAGTAGTACCCGCAAATATCACGAACGTTCTGGAGCGGAGGGGGCAGCTGCATGTCGTATAATGCGGGATGAACAAATGATGTGGCGCCACTCTTTGCAAACTCAGCAGCGAAACTCTGTAGGATCTTGACCAGCCTTTGGGTTGTGTCTCGATCAAATGATCGTATAATCTCGGGGATTGGAAGATGATTGAAATGTGAGCTGCAACGGTCTAAATACTGTACAGTAAAGGGGGTAGATAAACCCAGTTCGAAGCCTAAACGTCGGTCCCCTCTATTAACGCATGCGAGCTGTTGAGTCGGGTGATAAACTGCGGTTTCTGCAGGCTCGTTGATGTAGGAGCAGCTGATTTGCCTTTGATCGCATCTTGCACACCTAGGAAAGCCAAGATTGCACCTACGCTTAGCACTAGCGCAGGCTTCGCAGGATCGTTTCAACAAGGGCATGTCCTGATAGCTAAGAGAGGATAATCTCACGAGGCGAGCGTAACAAGCGAGAGAAAGTGAACGAGCTCCCGGCCGCGTAGAACCATCCAGACCTGATCATGCCACCCAGCGTTTTTAAGACTAAAACCTCAACGCAGTTGATGAGCCAGACGATGTGGTAATCCTACGGAGATATTGTAACCTTGATGCCGAAAGTGTCTTAGTCTCCGCAGCGGCAGCAGGGGGGCCACGGAGAGATGAGAACCAAATAGGGCTTAGACTCCACGCATTATCACAGGTGAGGCATGACTTACAAGAGTCCAGATAGCAAAAAGAGTAGCTGATATCGCAAAAGATACACATTAGAAAGGGGTGGGCTGTACAATGTGCAAGAGTTCACACCGAATTGAAAGCATAAATAGGGGTGTTCCTCCCATCCAGACTTACCAGTTTCCTGACTTGAATCAGTACTCCTACTTCTGCAATTCTTCTTTGTACCTGAAGATTCAAAACTTTCAAAGTTACCCGGCCTCATCAATCTCAAGATGGTTCAAGATATCAAGACAGTCATGGTACTCGGGGTATGTAAATCTTGCACCTGTTTGAATTATAGGAACATAGCATGCAACCTGGACAAGTATAGGGTGTGTGCTAAGGCTAATGGAAACTTGAAGGGCCTCGGGAATCTGGGCTCCTACATAGTCCCATCTCTCTTGAATGCTGGTTTCAATGTTTCAGTTCTAAGTCGGGGCTCGGCGGCCGCATCTGCTCACGGATTCGAAAACGTCCCGGCGGTGCATTCCGACTACACCTTTTCATCTCTCGTCGAAGCCTCCGCTGGGCAGGACGCAGTTATCTCAACCATTGCCACTGTTGCTACCATGGACATCAATGACCGGAAAACAGTCATCGACGCCGCTGTCGCTTCTAAAGTCAAGAGAATTCTCCCTAGTGAATTTGGGAGTGACACTTCAGTAGAGGACCTGGAAAAACATGCCCCTTTTCTTAAAAGCAGACAGGAGGTGGTTCAGTATCTTCGAACCAAGGAGGCAGAAGGCCTTTCGTGGACCTCATTATGCACAGGAGCATGGATCGATTGGGTTAGTGATTATTCTTATTCCTCCACAAAATCATTTCGGTCTTGCAGGACATCTTCGCAGATTTCAACCTTTGCTTACCAAACCATCATTTCTTCAAGATGTTGGAAGAAGGCCGCGGCTTGCTAGGCTGGGATATCAAAACAGCCTCGGGCACACTCTTCGATTCAGGCAACCAGAAATTCACGGCAACAACTCTGAGGAAAGTGGCGGAAGCCATTGCCTCCGTACTGGTGCATGCAGAGGAGACTAAAAATCAATATGTCCAAGTCGCTTCCTTCAACCTGACTCAAAACATGGTGTGGGAAGCTCTGGAGAAGGCTTCTGGGAAAGCCTTCTCCATGAAGAGGATGAGCACCGCGGATTTGCAGTCTCTAGCAACAAAGCACTTCGCAGATGGGGATTTGGATTCGGCTTACTACGAGTTGGTGACTGCGGCGGTTTATAGCGGTTCAGAAGTCATTCACTTTCCAGAGCGCGCCGCTCATTGGAACTCCGTCTTAGGCCTTGCCCAAGACGAGAGCCTGGATGAGATGGTTGAGCGAGTGCTGAGAAAGACACTTGGTTGATTGTGGAACATTGCCTCACATACTAAGTTCATCTGATATATAGCTCTTTTTGTTACACTCATGTGAACCAATTTATCTATCTATTCAGAAATATAACCAGCGCCTCTTTGAATGTATATGTGAGATCGACATATATAACATTTCAAACTACAAGATACGGGCACAGCTACACATCCACTACTACCATTTCTTCTTATCCAAAGGATTTGAAGACTGCCATAGTCATGAAAGATTCCTGAGTTAAAAACTGAAGGTTTGCCATGTCCACATGTCTCAGGTCATCAGATCAGTCTTTACTATAGGCATTTCGTATTTACTTCTGGTTCTACGATGTCATCACAAAACTCGCGATGAGCCAAATTCCTGGTGAATTGCTAAGGAAGGGCTCTTTTGGTGCGTTACGTTGCCCGGAAATAACAACTATTTGCATTCCCGGTGCCATTGTGAATCTGACTGAGCTCTCCCTTTCTGGCTACTGCTCATCGAATTTTGCACATCTACTCAGGGTAATGGTTGGAATTGAGCTTGATTGAAGTTCTCTACAAACTCGATTGGCCTTCAAAGTTGCAAGTATAATCGAAATTTATATTAACATAATAACTTATAGAATAAACTATAATTTCTGTTAATTACGAGGCGGATAGCTAGCGGGATCAAGGACCCTGAGAACACCTCCCCCCCATACCAACACGACTTCCAGTTTAGTTCAAACCTCGCCTAATATCGGCGGGCGGGTCCAAGTCGTTCGCTGTGTTGTTTCCCCGTGCTGACGGGAGGGCATTTCGGCAGATGAGTGAGTCACTGCGGACTGTCCACTGTCGATCCATTGACTTCCATAGAATGGATTTACGTCTAAATTTTTAAACATCGATAGGACATATAACTATACATAAGAATGGCTTATCAGGAAATTAGGTTCGTGGAACAACGGCGATAGAATAAATCGTCGTTGCAGGCGCACAAGCAACAACGGAACGGACGGTACAGACCCACTAGCTTCAGCGAATGGTAAGCCAGGAGTTGTAATATACCGACCGCTAGTCATTACGTTAAGGCGGGCTGTTTAGTTCAAAGCGCAATTTATGAGAACCACAGAGGCAAATGCAGCGCCTGTGCGCCAAGATGCGGCCGTAGCAGCTGCTAGCCCCGACATCGCTCTCTGCCCCACGGTTTTCCCTCATGACTTTTTCCAATTCCTGGCTGCCCTCGTTGACTCAATCCGATTTACGTATCAGCAGCTGCCAGAGACTGCCCGTGATAAAGAGCTTGGCCTGCCGGGACACCGCTGCTCTTCAATTGCGCCGTGTCTCATCACTCGTCCGTGTTTTCCGGCTTGTCCTTGTCAATTGCAGAAATCATGCTGTCCAGAGCTTTGCGTCTGAGCGCCTCGGCGCCCCGAGCTGGGAGCTTGGCCACCGCTACGAGGAGACAGAGGTAAGGATATCTCCCACATCGCTCCAGACATCCGCCAGATAGCCTCTTTATTTATATTTTCCCTCTTTTTTTCTCTCTCCTTTTGCTTCAATTGTAGATCAATACTAACATGATTTCGCTTTCTCCCACAGCCGTCTCTTCTCGTCGACCGCCGCTTTCCGCAAGGATGAGACCCTCAACAAGATCTCCTCCAACATCACCCAGCCCAAGTCCCAGGGTGCCTCCCAGGCCATGTTGTACGCCACCGGTCTGTCCGAGGACGACATGAACAAGGCCCAGGTCGGTATCTCCTCTGTCTGGTACGAGGGCAACCCCTGCAACATGCACTTGCTCGACCTCTCCAGCATCGTCGCCAAGTCCGTCAGGGACGTTGGGCTCGTCGGCTACCGCTTCAACACCATTGGTGTTAGTGACGGTATCTCCATGGGTACTACGGGAATGAGGTACTCTCTGCAGAGCCGAGAGATCATCGCCGACAGTATCGAGACTGTCATGAACGGCCAGTGGTACGACGGCAACATCAGCTTGCCCGGCTGCGACAAGAACATGCCCGGTGTCGCCATGGCCATGGGCCGAGTCAACCGTCCCAGTATCATGGTCTACGGCGGCACCATCCAGCCCGGTTGCTCCAAGTCCGGCGAGTCCATTGACATTGTGTCCGCCTTCCAGGCCTACGGTCAATACATCTCCGGTCAGATCACCGAGGAGGAGCGCTTCGACATCATCCGCAACGCCTGCCCTGGCGGCGGTGCCTGCGGCGGCATGTACACTGCCAACACCATGGCCACGGCCATCGAGACTCTGGGTCTGACCCTCCCCGGCAGCAGCAGCTACCCCGCCGAGTCCAAGGAGAAGAAGATCGAGTGCGAGAACGTCGGCCCCGCCATCAGGAACATCCTCAAGGAGGACATCCGCCCCCGCGACATCCTCACCCGCGAGGCTTTCGAGGACGCCATGGTCATCACCACCATCCTCGGAGGCAGCACCAACGCCGTCCTCCACCTCATCGCCATCGCCCACTCCGTCGGCATCAAGCTGAGCATTGACGACTTCCAGGCCGTCACCGACCGCGTCCCCTTCCTGGCCGACCTCAAGCCCTCGGGCAAGTACGTCATGGCCGACATGCACAAGATCGGCGGCACCCCCGGCGTCCTCAAGTTCCTCCTCAAGGAAGGGCTCATCAAGGGCGACCGCATCACCGTCACCGGCAAGACCCTCAAGGAGAACGTCAAGGACGCCCCCGACGTCACCGAGGACCAGGACATCCTCCGCCCCATGAGCAACCCCATCAAGGCCACCGGCCACCTGGCCATCCTGCGCGGCTCCCTCGCCCCCGGCGGCGCCGTCGGCAAGATCACCGGCAAGGAGGGCACCCGCTTCGAGGGCCGGGCGCGCGTGTACGAGTCCGAGTCCGACTTCATCGCCAGCCTGGAGCGCGGCGAGATCAAGAAGGGCGAGAAGACCGTTGTCATCATCCGCAACGACGGGCCCAAGGGCGGCCCCGGCATGCCCGAGATGCTGAAGCCCTCGTCCGCCATCATGGGTGCCGGCCTGGGCAAGGACTGCGCCCTGCTGACTGACGGTCGCTTCTCCGGCGGCTCTCACGGGTTCCTGATCGGCCACATCGTGCCTGAGGCCATGGAGGGTGGTCCCATCGGCCTTGTCAAGGACGGTGACGTTATCGTCATCGACGCGGACAAGAGGGTCGTCGACCTGGAGGTCCCTGAGGAGGAGATGGAGCGCAGGAGGAAAGCGTGGGTCCAGCCTGAGCCCAGATACAACAGGGGCACACTGAGCAAGTACGCCGCTCTTGTCAGCGACGCCAGTCACGGGTGTGTGACGGATGGCAAGCTGGAGTAAAAAAATAAAAATAAAAACAGGAAAAGGATGGCACTGGCTCAGGAACGCAGGAAAGAGAAGGCGGCTTCCAATTGTTTATAAGTTAATGTATTCTCAAGGTGCGGCAAGCCCGCGTTTGGTTAAAAAGATTGGGGGCGTTTTTGCCCTGTATGTGATACCGCAATGCAAGATTCATTCGACTTGATTTTACATTCGCAAATCTGAGCTACCGTTACAAGGGGATTCGGTCTTCCAGCTCCTGGCCCCAACTATGTAATTGCAAACTCCAGTCCTTCCGCAAGCCAAAAACGTCAAGGGTAGACACATAAAACTCCTCCGGAATATGATTCTTCTTGCTATAATGCCAGACCGTATTGATATCTTCTTCCCTCTCTTTCCTCGTGTTAAATTATTTTTTGGGTGTTTTTTTATTCCTGAATTCCTTCGCATTGCTTAAGCTTTCTTGGAATGGATAGCATTCACGAACGCTTGCTTGTCCTTCATCGTCAGCCCGACTCTCTTAACCCGACCAAGTCGTGCGAGAGCCTCTCCAACACGGTCAAGAACCCGCTGCTCAGTCTCTGAAAGGGCTTCGCCACCATCCCTCCGCCTCAGATTGCCCTGACCATGGACGGTATGGGAGGAGTCACCGTTGACCTGGACAGCGGAGGTGTTGACCTGACCTTCGGCGATACGGACCCGAATGCAAGTTGTTGGACGAGACAGGAGGTGCCACAGGAATGAAACCCATCGCCCGGGAACAGGAGTGGTGACCTCGGGAGGCGTGTAGCGAAGACTGACGGGGAATATGCTAACATCGGCCGGCGTCTGGAGAAGAGAAGGGCTGAACGGAAGGATCGCTTTGCCGTTTGTAGTACCGCATTCGGGGAAAACGGCAATGACGCGAGTAGGGTTCTGGTTCAGGAGATCTTTGATATCGATGAGGTTGGCATCTTTGGGAGGGGCCGTCTTGACAGGCCCCAGGGCGTTGGAGATTGCGCCGAGGAGGCCGACTCGCTGAACCTCCCTGGTGTTGGGGTAGGAGATGGTAAATATGGGGTCGAAGATAGCGGCGAGGTATACGGCGTCGATGGCACTCGTAAAGTTGGCGGCAATGACAGATCCGGGATGGGGGAATCGATGACGGGGTTGTTCGGCGAGGGTGCCACGTTTGACGCCGTCAAGCTGGAGGTCAATCCACCAGATACCTGGAATAGCCATCAAGCCCCAAAGAGCGATCTTCCGGAGAAAGACGGGGAGCGGGAGCCAGTGGAAGAAGAGGAAGTAGCAAAAGACGTAAGAGAGGAAGAATGGCAGGCGAAAGACAAAGAGAATGCTATGGGTGATGACTGAAATCGGAGAGAGGGGCGTTGGGACAGGAAGAAAAGGCGCAATGCCAGTGCCTATGTAGAAGTGTCAGCTAAGTAATGGATTATAGAAGCGAAGCCTGTACCTCGATCGCGAAACTGGCTGTATTTTTCCATCGTGGCTAGTTTGGAGGAACTGCGTGTCGTGTGCAGGCTCAGTGACGTTGAGGATAGGTAGCTCTCTATGACGGGTGCGGTGGGGGAACGTAGGCAGGGCTACCGAGACATTTGAATGCTATAAGTTGCGCACACGAGGTTTGTATAGGTCGGACATGCAGGCAGAAGAAAGCGACGAAGATGTTGGGATCGAAACGTTGAGGCGCATGCAGAGAGTTTGAGAAATGGACGCAAGGGCCTGGGTCCAAGCCAGCTTGTGCTGACTGACATGTGAAGTGAGCTGAGAGAATGTGGGCGACTGAATGTGGGGCCAACCACACACAAACGTCAGCGTGTGGTGGGCTGGAGCTTGCGCTTAGTCACCCATGTGCACTGGCCAGGTGCAGCCAAATGCTGATAAGGCCACGGGAGCTATCGGGGGCGAGGCTGCAGGGATGGAGCACTGAAGGACAGCCCCGGATACCGCAGGGCCATAACACGGTTGCCGGGCAGCCACAAACAAGACGGGGGCTCCCACGCATCGAGACAAACTGGACGTAAACACGCCTCTTCACTAGGCGTATATCCAAAGGCCGGTTCCACTCTTTGTCGAGGCGCAACTCTGTCAAGCATCTCTAACGGTTTTCAACGACGGGACCGGCTTGCTTCGCTTTGCCTTCGCTTCCCAGCACACGGCCTCGCTCTAAAAGCTGGACTCACGGCGCCACAGCTCGACGCGCACCTCACGATCGACAAAACATCCGATACTCCTCCCTCCCATCCGCCGCGAGCGAACTCGATGATCTAACCAATACTCAACTCCTACGTTGCCTTACCCTTCCCCGAGAAATACCAACATACCCGTCGACGCAATGGAGGTCTCGGAACAACAGGTTGGTCAATGGCTGCCGTGAGGCGCTACCGCAGATTTGGGAAGCTGACCTCCTTTCAGCGCATGATGCGAAGCTCCAAGATTAGCCGCCTCCCAGCTCCCAAATCTTCCCAGGAATCGGGGGGACTCGTCGAAATGACGGAGTCGCAAAACAATTCCCGAGTTCAATCTGCCATCCAGACCTACGGGAAATCCTCAATTCAGGGCCTCAAGCGCGAGACGCCCCAGCCAGGTAATGACGTACCGCCCTCACCAAGAAAACATACGACGGCATGGCGAGGCAAGTCACTAACCCTATCCTTTCCTGAGCAGCAACTCAGTCAGAAGCAAAACGAAAACAGTTGGCAGAGCGGGTTGGGGAATATCCGCGCAAGACTGGGCTCACTGGGCCTGCAGCGGGGACCCGATCGAACGTACAGGGTATCGCGCTGGTTGCGGCGTCTGGTGCGTCTGGGGTGAGTGACTATTTCGATCGCCTCAACAATATCTTTTTTCCCCTCCCACGACTGCGGTCATTCATGAATTTTTGCCCGCCACCGCGCCCTTGTTTTTCTCTTAAAATATTTCCCTCTTCCATCTAATCCTCCCCTCCCACCGGCTAAATTGTTCTCTTGTTCAATTTATTATGCCCGCGTCCTGTGACCAGGGGATTGCCGATTCTTTGTGTGACCGCCTATTGCCGTGCAGCTGCATAATGGTGTGCACACATTTTGAGGTCTTCTCTTGCGAATAGTGTCATAACAGCCACGGCTGGAAAAGCCTCCGCGTCGCTGGCCAAGCGTCATGCAGATGCAGGCTGCCTTGAGGTCGACAACCAAATTATGCATGAAGACTCGTCCTCAACAGACGAACCGCAATCTCCTCTGGGCATTCTGCAGCTCTTGCGGAATGTCCAGCGGAGGCTAGCATTGCATGATGAAGACCACAGTCCTCGGGTCAGCCTCTACATCGAGGCTGCAATTCGCAACTGCCTCATGACCCAGCACCACAATCACAGAACAGTACTGCCGCCTTTCCCCAGATCACAATACCTTGCGTCCACTTTGCACTTCTTGCGTCATTCGCCCGCTACGCGTTTACTGACCCCTCCACAGCTTAAGCCGCCAACAACGTACCAACCATCCCGACAAGCATCCAGTACATCCAGCACATCCACATCGTCGACCAATAGCTTCAGCAAGAGCATCGGTCCTCCTCGCAGTAACACTCTCGATCGTCCGAAGACGTCCCGCAACAATGCCCGCCCCATTCACACCCGATCCAAGAGCCAGGCCGCCACAAGACCCCGCACCGCACATGGGCTATATGAAGAGGAAAGGCATGAGCCACCTTCCAAGACTCAGAGTACGAGACTTCTTTCCCAATCCCTACAGACAACACAACAGCTGCACAACCCCAAAACGAGATCGGAGCCCGCCGCTACGACTCACCCACCACCCATCACCAACTCCAGAGAAAGCTCTCTCAACAAATGGTTTGCGGGGCTCAGTCTCGAAGACCGAAACCCGTCCCGCGGGGGTCAAGTGATCCCACCAACATCGTCTCGCCACCGATCTGAAATTCCGTGTCCTCCCACCCTGCCCCAGGCTACTCCTAGGCGGTTCGTCAAGGAAAAGGGGAGCGGCATCGGCAACATCAAGCTCCCACGCCCGACCACAACGCCTGAGCCATAGAACGCACCTCAACAGTCGCCGAGCAAGAAGCAGTTTGATGAGAAATTTCAGCGGTTCGGCGAGACAATCACCACACTCAAATCATGCAACTCGCCCTTGAAAGATCCCTCCCCCACAGCGTTTTTGTTGAAGACATCTGACTTACGTGGTTTTACAGCTTTCGACGTGGATGGCCGAGTAGGCGACATGGAGAATCAGTTCAAGGAGCTGAAGGACATGGTCAACAACACCCTCAACGAGAGGAAAGGCCATGTTGACGCCCTTGAACTGGCTAAAGGCAGAGGTGGGTAGTCGTCGGCAATGACGTGGAGAAGGGTCTCTCGAGCTAACGAATATCAGTAACCGAACTTGAACGTGAAAGAGAGAGGCTTGAAAGCCGAAATGAGCGTCTTAGAACCGAAGTTGATGGCGCCAAGGATGACCTTCGCCATCTCCATCACGATTTAGAGAGACAGAAATGGGAATCAAATCGCCAGATCGAGGACTTAAACCGACAACACCGAGAAACCGTCGAGGATCTCTCCCGCCAGCATCGCAGTGCCGTCGACGATCTCAGCCGAGAGCTTGATTATCTCAAAGACCAGGAATCCAAGGAGCACCAACAACGAATAGAAGGACTTACCCGCCACTACCAACAGGAGCTCGATGATGAGCGCCAAAAGAAGGAGCGCGAGATTAAAGATCTGCGGCTACGTATGGGCAATGATCATGACGACATGAACAGCACCATGCAGCGCAAAGACAGAGAGATGCAAGAAATGCGTTCTGCAATGGAGGGTTTGCGGTCTGATCTAGAGCGTGAAAGGACTCTCAAGAGCAGCTTGCAAACAAATATCGCAGAGTTGTCCGCATCGAATACAACTCTAGAGGCCAAGATCAACTCACTTCGCTCGCAAGTCGAGTTTCTCGAGTCAGACAGCAAGGCACAGTCTGATTCATTTGCCAATATGGAGGCTCGCCTTCAAGAAGCCATGCGCATTGCCGAGGAAGCTCGACAAAAACTCATCAAGGAGGAGACGGAGAGACGTGTGCTTTTCAACAAGTATCAAGAGCTCAAGGGAAACATCCGAGTCATGTGCAGAGTTCGACCTATTCTGCATCGGTCAGAAGGAGAGCAGGCCGGGATGTCCTTCCCTGATGAAAAGACCTCTGCTGAAATCGTTCTGGCCGGGCCAGAGGAGAAGAGCAGCCTCGGGCACATCACGCGAAAGAACTATCCCTTTGAGTTTGACCGTGTATTCGTCCCCGGCACGCAGAACGAAGAGGTCTTTGGAGAAATCTCCCAGGTTGTACAGAGCGCCTTGGACGGGTACAATGTATGTATCTTTTGTTACGGTCAGACCGGATCAGGAAAGACGCACACCATGTCATCGAGCGATGGCATGATTCCCAAGGCCACGCACATGATTTACGATACAATCACCAAGCTCGGGGAGAAATCATGGGAATACAGCATGGAGGGTTCATTCGTGGAGGTTTACAACGAAGAACTGAACGACCTTCTCACTCCCAACGATCCCCACCATAAATCCAAGAAGTTGGAAATCCGGCACGATGACGCCCGCAAGCAGACAACCATCCTCAACTGCAAGTCGGTGCCTCTGATTTCTGCATCCAGTGTTGAGACGATGCTCCAGGAAGCGCAAAAGAATCGTTCGGTGGCAGCCACCAAGGCCAATGAGCGATCATCACGGTCTCATAGCATATTCATTCTGAAGCTCATTGGCGAGAACTATGCCACCGGCGAGCGCTGCGAAGGTACCCTGAACTTGGTTGATTTGGCCGGTTCAGAGCGACTGAAGCACTCACAGGCCGAGGGTGATCGAAAGAGAGAAACTCAGAACATCAACAAGAGTTTGAGCTGTTTAGGCGATGTCATCGAAGCCCTTGGCAAGGGGTCCGGGCACATCCCTTACCGAAACTCCAAGTTGACGCATCTTCTACAATACAGTCTGGGAGGGAACAGCAAGACGCTCATGTTCGTAATGGTCTCCCCTCTAGAGACTCATTTGAAGGAAACCTTGACTAGTTTGAGGTTCGCAACAAAGGTGAGATTAATACACATCAGGCGGAGTGAATGACTTGGTTTGCTGACAATATATTTCTCAGGTCCATAATACCCATATTGGTACCGCAAAAGCGACGAAAAAGATAAAGGCCAGCGACTATTAGGAGCAGCTGGAAACAGATATGAGAAAATTGACAATCTTCAAAAGGAGTTCATAGACTCCATCACGCTCGAGCTCAGCACAAGGAGGTTTTTTCTTTTTTAGCGACGGTGTGGCTCGGCGGCACTACGAATCAGGGGACCACCTTGGCACAGGATGGTGGAAGGAATCAAGGGTGATTGGCGAATTAAAGAAAGCAGGCGGACATTGTTGGTACATGTTTTACTTTTGGACGGAGTTGTCGGAGCATTTGGCTGCTGTCCGCATCATTTGTTTTGGAGCGTTTCTTTCATGCGGTTCATCGGCGCACTCAGAGAGAAAGGCACAAGATCATTCGCACCTTTGTAATGTTCTTCGATGGAGTTGGAAAATATTGGTAGAAGAAATGATTATGACATGACATATATATATCACATGCCACATGTCCAGTAGCGTGATTTGACTGGCTTGATGGATGGGCCATATGATGAAAAGCTGCCAGCTATAGTCCAAAGTGAATTCTACAGTCCTCTCTTTTAAATTGACGGGCAGAAGATTGATGGTCATGAGGAGCGTTTGTGCACAACCAGCCTTTGCCTACCCTAGACCTCGTACTGGTTCAACTTTGCTCGACAATGGGAACATTGGAGCATCACTTGGTTTGTTATTGAAGGCGGATTTTCATGTCCTATGGAGGCTTCGTGAAGCTTTTATTAAATGTCTAACTAAATCTTATTGCTGGCTGTCAAGGTTGGGCGGTCATCCACCGAAGCCTACTTGGCAGTAGAGGACAGCCACAACGAACCCTCTCTCGCGGAGGCCTCTACCTAGGCATCGCATCTAGGCCTAGTGATGACTCCCTACCTACTTAAGCACACTATTACCCAAGGTAATATAATGATAATAAACTTCCAACTACATCGGCGAAGTAGTGACACTTTAACGTAATGGACGCAAACGCGCTCCTCCCTCTCGGGGAAGAGCCTTCGCTTTTGCTTTGCCCTGCTGATTCCGGTTCGAATCCCATCGCATTTGGGTGATTTCTTTTTATGAAAATTTCGCCGTCGATTTGTTTTATTTTATTTTGAAAGGGAGAACGTCTTTGTAGGTATGTAACGATATTTGTGTCAAAAGGGAACGCTGGCAGGGGATGTTGGGTATCATTTGCGCGGTGCTTGACCTCCCTACCTAAATAGTGGTAGGTATATAAGACTAAAAATTGCGACCTCTTTCAGTGAAGTAGCGAGCCTCCAATTGGAAAACTCTCGTCAGAGAAGTCTTTATAGCTCTGCTTTCCACTTCGGTGGAAAGCCTTCGCTTTTGTCATTTTGTCCCTTCTAAGCCGTCACTTCGAATCCGGTGCGAGCCAAATGTGGTTCCCTTTTTACCCTGGGTTTTTTTTTCCTATGTCGCACCTTGGTTCAAATATGATTGAGTTGCTTGCTATGCGGTATGTATTTTGATTGAAATTCTTGCCAATGTGTCTGCATTTGCCGTGGAGGGCCTCAAGATGGTCGTCCAGTCGACCAAGGAATAGGCCTGAAGGCTATCAACGGCACTCGATAAAAAGCAAACGGCTTATTTGCAACGTTGTTGGCATTGTTCAAAGTTGTTGAAATCGCACTAGCTTTGATTGAGTATGAAATGAGATTTCTCTCCTGCCGGCCTCTCGGGCTGGTTGTGGTTGCACCTCCCCGCGTCCAGAGTTGTTGGTACTGAATGCCGGCGCCAAAATTTAGATGCTGGCCAACAAACCGTCACCAACCAACAAACGCTTCTCACCCACCTCAAACAAGGCCCATCATTTCCACGCTCCCTCGTTCCCCAGCCCTAGCCGCTATGGGATCTTGTTTTCCATACCACAGTTGGGCGTGAACAGGTCGTTTCCACTGAGCACAATTATTGCCATCCTGCATTGGCTATTTCTCTTGACCCAGATGGAGATGTCGATTCAGCCGCCTTGACCTGCTCCCAATTCTCTTCTCTCGACACACGCGACGTATCACCAACCGCCACGACAGGCAGCCACAACGGGCCACCTAAACCGTGCAATTCCGAAAAACCATGAACCAAGCAAACTCCAACGGCCTCAAAGGGTCCATGTGGGCTTCCAGCACCCGACCGTACACATACAGACCAGACCCGCGCCCACGATCCGTCCCCCTCACGCCCTCCCCCCACGACGCCAGCCGAGCGAGCAGCAACAACAGCCCGGCCCCGAACGGCGGCTCGACGACGACGACGACCTTCCTCACCCCCGCGCCGGCTCCCACCATCGCCACCGCCCCGACCAGGGCCTCGGCGGTCCTGCCCCCCAGCCTCGCCCTGCACCGGCTGGAGCAGACGTGCCTGCGGCTGCGGTGGAAGTCGATCGACCTGGACAACGCGTGGCGCCGCGCGCAGAGCCCCGGCGAGGGCGGGTGGACGCCCGAGCACGCCGAGGGGAACTTCAAGGTGGACTTTTACGAGTTCTACGCCTGGATCGAGCAGGCGCTCGTCCTGCTGCAGCGCATCTTCGGGGTGGAGATCTCGTCCGCGCGGGGGGGCTCGTGGTCGGGCGCGGCGGACCACTCGTTCCACCACAACGTGCTGGCGGCGCTGGAGGAGGAGGGCAACCCGCTGAGGGGGGTGCTGGGGTCCGGGGAGGTGCGGCATGCCCTGTGGAAGGCCAAGGAGCTGCGGAACAGGTGGAAGGACGCGGCGGCGGGGGAGAAGGAGACCCCGCCGCTGAGGATGTACGACCTGAGCTGGATCGTGGGGAATATCCTGGCGGGGCTGGAGGCGGCGTATGGGGTTGCGGCTGGGAAGGTGAGGGAGCTGGAGGAGGCTGAGAAGGGTGGCCCGGCCGAGGCAACGGTTGAGGATCAAGGGTGGGATTGGATGGTGGAAGACAGCATGGACTGGGAGGCATAGGAGAGGCCCGGGACGCTCAAGAACGATGCGGTATGGCTTTGGATGGGAAACTGAATATCAGATCAGCCCTTTGGAAAAAATAGGTGTGTGGGAGTTCTGGGAAGCTCGGGGCGTTTTTGTTGGAATATTGGGAATTTGGGTTCATGAGCGAGCAAGCGAGCGGCGATACCTCTGTTCTTTGGGCATCTAGATAGATTGGCGATGGAACTTATTCACACACATGGGCATATAGAGAGGTGTATCTAGCACAGACAGAGACCGGGAAAGTGCCTCAGACACTGCTTTCCAGTGGTGTGGAAACAATCCCTAGGAAAATTTTGTATTATTACATTGGATTCTAGATCATACAGCAGATTTATCCTTCCTCCTCCTCTTTCTTGATCGCATCCAACTCTTCATGCTTGGCCACCTCGCCCGCCTCCCCCTTCACCTTTGCTCTCCGGAACGCCCTGCGCAGCTCACACCGACCCAGGTTCTTCCCCCCGGCCTTGCACTCCTCACACCGCTTCCCATGCGTGATGAGCAGAACGTGGAGGGGATACTTGTCCCCGTCCGGTATCCTCGCGTCCAGGTGCGCGTGCGCGTCCTCCCTCCCCGCCCCCTCGGGCCGCCACCCCAAGAGACCCGTGATCCTGTGCACGTGGGTGTCGACGGCGAAGCTCTCCCTCCCCAGGCAGAAGAGCAGGACGCACGACGCCGTCTTGGGGCCGATCCCCCGGAACGAGAGCAGCTCGCGCATGCAGGCTGCGTCGTCGGCCTGGTCGAAGAGGTGGTCGAGGGAGTAGGCGCCGTGCTTGGCGTGGACCTGCTCGAGGACGTCGATGATGACGCGGGACTTGACGGCCGCGAGGCCGCCGGAGCGGATGGCGTCCTGGAGCTTTTGGCGGCCGCCGGCGACGATGGCGGCCCAGTTGTCGGAGCGGGAGTAGGCGGCGTCCATGGAGAGCTTGGCGCGGGAGGAGTTGCGGTCCGAGGTGTTCTGGGAGAGGATGGTGCGGACGAGGGCGTCGAGGACGGAGGGGGAGGCGCCGCAGCCGGCGGACGTGGACGAGGCCTGGGGGGTGGCGGCGGGACGGGAGCGGGCGCCGTGGAGGGAGGAGAGGATGGAGAGGGCGAGGGAGCACTCCTGGGCTGTGGGGTGGGGGAAGTTGGGGAAGGGGGAGGTTCTGGTGAAGGAGTAGGCCGAGAGCTTCTTGGACTGGAGGGCGGCGTCCTTGTCCTTTGCCTTTGCTCTGGGGGTTTGGGATCTCTTCTTGGCCGGGGAGGACTCGGGCTTGGGGGAGTGGTGCTCTGTCTTGATGCGCTTGCGGGGCGTGGGTGAGGGTTTGGGCGGCTTGAGAGGAGAGCTGTTATCGACCAGCTCGCGCTTGATGTTCCTGGAACTTCTCCTGAGAGTGCCCAGCTCAGCCTTGAGCGGCGATGATGCGGCAGTTGCCATGGTCTAAGTATGGTTGTTGGTCAATTTGAATGCTGTAGGCAGAGAAATGGTGAACAGGCTCAACGTATGGAACTAGGGATTGTAAATATGTATGTCTATGAATGGTAATAAGTATCTGAACTGTGCCGAGTGATGCTTCTATTTGTTTTTATGGACAATCGTCGCTTCACTAATGATTGCTGATGTCACCAGTCGGGAGCTTCATCGGACCAAACCCCAGATGCTGCTAATCAGGCGGGTAGATGGAATTAAAGACCTGCCCCACTGCCCATGCGGAGATCGATGCTGCTCAATCTGAAACGCCAAAGGGAGGATCAGGACACCAGTGAGATCGTCCTCCCTCGAGGGACACGAGTGCCGGATGAGGACCTCTAAATTAAATTTAGTCTGTCATCCACCATGACCCAATTGTGTGATACCCAATTGTGTGATAATTGTTCCAGAACCTTCATCCCAGCCATGGCCTGAGCGGAAGTTCCGGGTGGTCTGAGCCCAGCGTCAGGGGCTTCAGCGCTTCAGCTTCAATTCAATTTGTGCTTGCTCATAGGGCTGGCCCCTGGCTGATCGCAATACGAGAGGGATCATATTACGGCAATATTACCTGCATACAAGGTCATTATACATCTCACTAGGTAGGCAGACTTTCATCGACCGTGTCATCTTCATCGTGGCAC